TCTGTCTGTTTGTTTCGGCTAATCTCTGGAACGGCTGGACCGATTTTGATGAGACTTTCACTAATAGGTAGCTGATGATATAAGGAGTAACTTAGGTTACTTTTTTTAGACTAGCTTCGCCCCGCGGCGTCACCCGCAGTCATTGTCGTACCGCGCGCAACGTGGCGGACTTCGCCTATCAATGATAAAATTTTATGTTTCCGAAGCGAAGCGAGGGCGGGTCGGTAGTACATACTAAATGGACCGTTTATTTTGAAAGTGGTGTAAGTCCATTTTTGAGAAAAATGAACTATCAAGTAATTCATGCTTCATAATTTAATGTAATTTTTTTATATATAATTAGTACGTGTTTAATTTCTCAAAAAAATCCCATGTTTTGTACAACTTAAAATCGTTCGGTAAATTAAATTGCATAATTATCGATTATGAAAGTGGTGTAAGTCCAATTGACAGAGGTAGGTGGCATAGCAGATGGATGCCGATCAGTGTTTTGTTATTTTTCATTTATTTTATACTAGCTGTGTCCCGCGGTTTCACCCGCGGACTATTTGCATTGTTTCCCCTCCGTGTTCTACTACTCGTAAGTTAAAAGATAGATATTAAAGAAATGTATTAGAAAATGTACAGCGCATAACCTGTGAGAAGAAAATAAATACGACAAGGCTGTATGATTCCGTATCTTTGCCCGTATTTTGGCGAATTAAAAAAACAACAAAAACAATAGTAGCGCCGCGCCATCTTTTTGCAGAAAAATCCGCAGTCTTATTACGATTATACCACAAGATTACTATAATGTAATAGCGCATGTAGAAAACAGGATAAATTCATTTTATATGAAATGAAACTGGAGAATTTCATTTCAACAAAAAGTCTCCAAAATGCAATTAAAAAACAGATAATAAAAAATACTAATGGGGAACAGGTCAGTTGGTTGCAAATATATTGGTTGAGGTTCCTCAAAATTACCACCATACCATTTTTTTTAAAACAACGACGACGGACTCAGTATTTAAAATTATCAATTTATTACCTCTACGTCCTGGAAGACCGTTAAAATTTGGAAAAATCGCCCTGGATCCTTTGTACCAAAATGCCAGACCTATTACGTACGAAAAATATAAAGACATGAAGCAGCTAACTACCCTATATACCTCCGGTGCATCATACATATTTTGAAACACTACCACATGCAGAGAATAAGTAAATTCTTGTAATCAGTATCTTGTAATGACAATGTAATTGCCGTCTAAAATAAAATTTGATGTGTTGTTATGCGTATTTGTAAACAAAATTATATTAAAATGAAGTATATTTTAAGCGATATTTGATTTTTCAAAATTGAAATTAACCGATTTTTACAATTGTCTAATTTTGAAAGTGGTGTAAGTCCATTTACAGCACATAGATATTTGTTATCGTAGTCTAATTAGCCGAAAACAAATTTATATAAACAAATTAAATGTTGATAAAACAATAGAAACAATGCCAGACCTCATATGATTTTCCTGTATTTTTAAATAGACAAATATAGTCCCCTTTAATTTTCTCGAAACAAAAGAAAATGGACTTACACCACTTTCAAAATAAACGGTCCATATAATACGAAAAGACTTTCCCCAACCTGTTATATACGGTACACACACCAAAATAACATTTTTTACAATTTTTGGCTGTTTGTTTGTTCCGGCGAATCTCTGGAACGGCTGGACCAATTTTGACAAGACTCACCGATAGGTACCTGATAATATAAGGAGTAACTTAGGCTTTTTTAGACTAGCTTCGCCCCGCGGCGTCACCCTCGGTAAGATAATAACCACGGGTAAAATCGCGGGGCTCATCACCATCATCATCTCAACCTGTCTGCTGTCCACTGGTGAACATAGGCCTCTCCAACTGATGTCCAGTGCGGCCAGTCCGTTGTCACCTGCATCCAACGTGACCCAGAAATTTTCACCAGGTCGTCGGTCCATCTGGTAGGTGGCAGTCCCACACTGCGTTTGCCGTACGTGGTCTCCACTCGAGGATCCTTCTGCTTTATCGGCCGTCCGATCTTCGCGCTATGTGACCTGCCCACTGCCACTTCAGATTGCTAATCCTACGGGCTATGTCAGCAACTTTGGTTTTTCTACGGATCTCCTCATATCTGATTCGATCTCGTAGAGAAATACCAAGTATAGCCCTCTCCATAGCTCGCTGTGCGACACTAAGCTTCCTAAAAAGATCCCTTGTGAAGCACCACGTCTCGGAACCGTAAGTCATCACTGGCAACACACATTTGTTATGCACCATTGTTTTCAGGCACTGAGGGATTTTGGACGAGAACACATTTCTTAATTTATCGCGGGGCTCAGCTAGTGGTTAATATTAATAATATGATTCGAACTACTTACAATGTTCAGGCTCATGGGTCAGTTCTTTCACTTTGTCAAAGAGAACCTAAATGTTTTCAGTTCATGTTGTTCATTTAATTATTGCATAGACGAGTGAACTATTTTACGGTCTAATATCGATATTACTAACATGTAACTATTACTATAATCTATAAAATTCTCAACAAAGTGAAGTTTTATCGAAATAGTTCCGTTGGAATCGTATTTTAGCATTCTTATATCAGTTACGCATGGGCGGCCTGAGAATGGTTCTTGTCGAGCTGTAGATTTGAAAATCTTTAGTTTCATAATTTTTAATAAAAGTGTGATCAAGTATCTTAACTTCATATGGAAATGGTTTGGTGCGTGCTAATTTTGTTACTTTGGCATATTCACTTTGTAACTGAATTTCACTATTCTTTAGCTTCCTTTCAATAGAACCATCTACCGAATCACACGCATTTGTCTTATTTCAATGTTCTTATTTGTACAGTAGTCCTGTACAGCGTTCGCAAGGGTCACATTTCCATTTTGGGCTGTGCATGCGTCAGTAGGTATTATAATTTTGTGATTATCTCCACAGCATTCTTCTTCAATAGTCAGTGTTAAATGACGCCTATGCTGATGCCAATAAGTCCGGTGCATTCGTATCTAGCGATGGAACGGTGTTCGAATCCCGCAGGCGGGGTACCAAATTTTCTAATGAAATATGTACTTAACAAATTTTCACGATTGACTTTCGCGGTGGAGGAATAACATCATGTAATAAAAATCAAACCCGCAAAATTATAATTTGCGTAATTAAAGGTGGTAGAACCTCTTGTGAGTCCGTACGGGTAGGTACCATCGCCCTGCCTATTTCCGCCGTGAAGCAGTAATTAATGCGTTTCAGTTTGAAGGGTGGGGCAGCCTTTGTAACTATACTAAGACCTTACAACTTATATCTCAAGGTGGGTGGCGTTGTAGATGTCTATTATGGGCTCCAGTAACCGCTTAACATCAGGTGGGCTGTGAGCTCGACCACCCGCTCGACGATCTAAGCAATAAAAAAATGTATGTAATAATTTGTGCATTTAAGTTAATTGTCTCATGAATGAGATTAGACTTAAAATATCGTGGGCCGCGTAATTTAAAATAATCTGATTAAGCAGCCCGATATCAAAAACAAAACAATCTAAACACTATAAGTGTTTTCTTTGATTTTCACGTAACGAGTAGTAATTAAAACTGTTCGAAACGCAAGAAAGACAGTAAAAATGCGAGAAAAAAAATGTTAATGTTATTTAATATAGTATTAATTAAAACTAAAAAGTAGTTAGCTATAAGACATCATAACATAATTATAACATGAAAATTCAATATCAAATTTATTGCAAGTCTAAATATTTATTTTATCTTCCTACGGCGCGGCGACGGGAGTTGGAGATATTACTATTACTATTAAACAACTTTTTAAAACTTTTTTATTTGCTGTCTATTGAGTAGTCCACTACTGTAAGAAATATTTTTAACTGCAGATATTTTAATTTAGTGAGAGATTACGCGCTTCCACATATTGCAATAATATTAACTGTTACGTTTAATCAACCAATAAGTTACTAAATTAAATTTTGTGTGCTTGCTCAGTCACCAAAAGTCACAATAAGTTAGTTAGCAAAATTTATCATTTTGTTATTTTGTAAAACTTTTTCTAATATCGATCCGAATTTGCTATTTTTATTGAATTAACTATTTTAGTTTTCGGTACAGTTGTAGAAAAAATATTTATTGTTATAAAATTAAGTAGTAGAGACTCCGTATTTGTTTAGTTTATACTAGTTTTTTTTTGGGATGGAGGGACTGCTGGCTGCCCGAAGCGAAGCCTTTTCAGCTTTACCATGATGGATGGGTGAGTACGAAATTAGTCAGGATATAGATTGGACGAAGAAGGTGATATCGGGAATGATGTGCCTGCGTAAATGTGGGGAGCAGATTCGGATCAACTTCCTCTTTGAAAAAAGCACAGCTCTGGTTTTCGTAAAGTCAACTAAGATATAGAATATATATACAACTATATAAAGTAACATAATATTCATTTCCATTATAAATAAACGTCTATCAACAAACACTTTTAAACTTAAATATGGAGACAGCTCGTCCGATATATATCTGTACGCAGATAAATAAACTTTAACATAAGCAAATATCTTTAACTTTTCGGCAGAAAGAGATTATGTATATTTTATAATCTTTAATTACTCATAGTTGCTCATACATTAAAACAGATTTGAATGGAAAATAGGATACAATGAAATTAATTTAGTAGTCATGAAAAAGGGTTATTGTAATATTTTTAGTTACCTACCTACTTAAAATACTTCTCTGTAGTCGTGAACCGTTATTAGATTTTACTTTATTAAAATTGCGATTTAATTTATTGTAGTAGCAAGTCTGCATTATATTTCATTGTCATACCTATTTACCAAAAATTGCAAAAGTTTGCAAAAACGCAATGTTATTTGACTCGTGCTCATTTTCATAACCCCGTCATTCCGTTTATACGTAGTACTATAAATCGCCATAATTTTTGTTTGTTCTAAATTACATAAAGAAATGTCTTGCGCGTTACGCTGTAAGCAATGTATGTGCGCAGTTTCCATCGTTTCCATCTTCGTGTGAGGGGGAAAAACGATGTCCGGTAACGCCCCAAAATTCTGGCAGCTCACTTGTATATGTCTTCATCTCTTTCACGCATTGTCCCCTCCGTCCTTGCGTGTAACAAAGTATTCGATAAACTGATCTCGCCGAGTACGATTTACTCAAAGCCTGACAGAAAATATATTATGAATTTATGTATAAACCGTGGTTAAAGTAGATACAAAGTTAAAAGAATCGTTTGTGCATTGTGAAAGTGTTTCGTCGGAGTAATTTAAACGCGACGGTAGTTCGATGTAGCTAGTATGAAGCCGCGCCGTTTCCGTATCGATTTTCTGTTTAAGCTGCATTATATTACTATTTAAATCGTGAATGCGGTCTACAAATCTTAAAACCGTATTTGTTTTTGTGATTTTCATTATAGCTGAACAATGAATTGTGTAAAGTGATTGATTATTGTATTTTTATTAGTGTTCAAAATTTTATTTTACTAGTTCGATGTAACAAGGCCTATTGTCCACACCATTAACGAATGCAATAAAGAAGCAATAATAGTTCCTATATATTATAGTGTGATAGTGTAATTTCGGTAACCTTATGCACTGAAATGATTTTGTCTCCATTGTTTTGGGAGTGGTTTAACATTTGGCTTGTTCAAGTTTTAAAAAACTTGTATAATGAAATTAAAATGGTGGCACTGAGAGGATCAGACAGTTCTCTGAATTCATTGCAGCATGGATGTATGAATCAGGGAAATCATTCGCAGCATGGCCCAATTGATGTAACGCAAAACTTGCAATCGTCTTTTAGCATACCGCAAACGACGGTTACTCCACATATCAACATAAATCAAATAAATTTACCGAATCTGAATAACGTTTTGGTGCAATATATACCGCAGCATACCAATGGTAACTCTCATAAGCACGAACAGTCATCATCACGATACTCAAGCTCTAATTGTCAACTGCCCTCACATCATTACAGAGTGGTGACACAAACGCGTAAGTCAATTTTTAAATGTAACTGAATGTTATCAAACCTTTATTTTGCGCATTTCCATTACCTTTTTATTGCATTGACTTCATGTCCAGGTGCTGATTGTTTGCAATATAATATATATGTATATATGTGCATTGTATGACCAAACACGCTGTAATTTCCTTAGCGCTAACGCAGTTATCCACGGGCTTCAACACCACATAGTGAGTGTATTTGTGTAAAGTCAAAATTTTTATATTTATAAAATAAATAATAGTTCAAATTTGTTTTTAATTGTTAATTTACCGATTGCAGGGCCGGTAGAATGTTATCACCCCACAGGCGCCGCTGGTACTCAGTATATACCGAATACAACCGGCGTGGCGCAAACATCGGCACAACCTACATTAAGAGTCCAGCCTACGCCTCAGCCATCGGCACCACCGACACCCCAGCAGGACATATCGAAAACAACTATGGTTAGAAAATACATTTTATCGCTATGAAAAAAATTAAATAATCCCAAAATCCCAATACATATTATGAAATATACATTTATCTGTTTTTAGGCGGGTCACAACTACCCATCCCAAAATCAGAGTTCTGCTAATTCAAGGGCATCCCAATATGGAAACTTCCCATACAGACAACAACAGCAACAACCACAAACTACGAGATCTTCGACACATCCGAGGTGAAGTGATAATACTTTATATATATATACTTTTATGTATTTTATAAATATAAATTTTATTACATACAAACATGATGTTATCGCTTTGAAAACAGGTTTAAATTCTTTTTTATTTTTACTAGTATTCGCCCCTATGATCTTTATTCGATCATAATCACAAACACCTAAAAACTGTAATTCACTTTATGTGTTACTTTTTCTTTCTTATTTGTAATGTTGATTATTTCCAATAGATGTAATTAAAAACACTGGAGATTGACCAGCCTCAGTGTTTTCGGTGTTACAAATGTTTGTAAAAAAATGTAAAAGCTTGTTAACCCGAAAATAAGAAAGGAAAGTATGGTGCTCAACTGGTTTTGTCTGGCTACTTAGGTACATATTCATAGATTGCTTATCAAAAACAAAAATACATTTTTTTTTTATAAAAAATGGGCTTGTGTTACCATAATAATATAATTATCAGGTGTCCCGTGAGTTTGTTTAATCATTTATGCAGTATATAAATGTATAAATAATGATAATATACTAGTTGACCCGGCAGACTTCGTAGTGTCTAAATCGACAAACAAAAGACCTAAACTTTTGTATAAAATAAACTTAAAAAAAACAAAAGGAATCCGTCCGACGGGGGACACATCAAAGGAAAAATAAAATTGTTTGTTTTTATATAATTCTGAGCATTTTCATATTTTTTTACCCTTTAAATCTTCTCTGGACTTCCACGAATAATTCAAGACCAAAATTAGCCAAATCGGTCCAGCCGTTCTCGAGTTTTAGTGAGACTAACGAACAGCAATTCATTTATATATATATTAAATAATTTTGTTATCACTATTGCAGGCAACAACAACAACAGCAACAACAACAACAACAACAACAGCAGCAGCAGCAGCAGCAGCAGCAACAACAACAGCAACAGCAGCCTCCATATATACCTGGTGCTACAGCGACTACAGGGCCTGTTGTCTATCCCTTAATGTTTCAACCCCCTATTAACATCCAGAGTTTTCAACAACCAAGATCGAGTGCTCCGTAAGTTCATTATGATGAACATATCTTCAACAAGTATTTCATATTTGTGGTATTTCGAAACAATCAGGCTTTACTAATATAATATTACGAGAATTACATGGATAATTTCGTATTAATCAATTCAATAATAAATAACGATAAATAAAGCTATTACAGCATGTTACATTAATATGAATTTAAATAAGATGAGCACACACAATGTACCTCCCCTTACATTTGACTTATGAACGTAGATAATTCCGATATCTTGTAATGTGACATTGTCTGACAATAAATATATCAGAATGTGTAATTGCCGATTGCAACCAAGTCGTATTCAGCGCAGAGATAATCGAGACAATTAATGCGTTGAGTGCAAAACTTGTGTTAACTTTAATTACATTTAAAAAAATATTCACAGTCCATATTTTGATCAATTATTGGAAATACGTGCAATATTATTTTACGTCGGTGTGTAATGAGAAATACTTCTTTGCATGTTAAAGAAAAAATAACTCAATTGATTTATTAAAGCCGCAGTTCAAGTTTTATTATGATACATAAAATGCTACTTTTAAATAATGCTATTCAGCTAATACATTGTGTCATTTTTCAATTGTGAAGTGTCCGATTACTCAGAAATGTGTGAAATTCAACAAGCATGTTAGTTGAATACAAATTAATGATATAATCAATTTGATCATGCATCATTATTTAATGGTAGCATATTAAATGTATGTATAAAAAACGGGATAGTTATAATTTTTTTAAAGTGTACTAAACAAATTTTAAACACTTGAACCAAAAACATTTTGCTTTTGTTTATTGTTATATGATGTAATATAAATGACTGTTCTGAACATTTCAAATTATTTTGTTCTTAATCATAAAATGCTTGTGTAAAACGGTTCTTTATCCTCACACAGATATTATCCATACGTTGGTTACATTCCGGGGTACAACACACCACCCGGTCATACACCACAATGTAAGTATTCATTCAATGCGAGGCATTATTAACGATAATAATTCTGGTAAGCTTATCTTATTACCAAGTAAAATAGCGTTTAAAAACTACTATTGTATGTTTATTAGGTTCACAGTGTTATTGTACAATTTTTTTTATTAAAAAAAAAGAGCGTTCGCCACATGATCGAAATTCAACTTCAAACACTGACACCTCAAGATTTAGTTTAAATTTGTTAAATTTTCGTTTTGTCATGATAATGTCAATAATGAAAATTTTAAAACTCAAAAGATACTAGCGCTGATGCGCTATAATTAATTCTTTGAGAATTCTTAATCAACATGAAAGGTCCACACATAGGGTCCCCTGACAATGAAAAATAAACACTACAAAAACAATTTTCGGTTGAAACGTTAAGACCTGTGTGTGTGGGTGTAACTGTCAAAATCAAACAAACTCATTTAGGCAAGTATAATATTAATATGGTCGCTTATAATAGGAATAAAGAGCAAGTTAATTTTCCTAGTGTTTTAAGTTAACCTTTGTGTTCTCGTTTTCCAGTTCTTGGCACTACTATCGTAAATTTTTATGTTTATTTTCAACAGATTACTACACACCCAACAGTCCCCAACTACCAAGTCAAAATGCTCAGTCAAATCCTCCAAGTAGAAACAATCCTACGACATTAGTGGGAGCTCAGTGTACTTCATCAGTGGTTACAGCGCCGACACCAACTCTTCCGTTGCAGCAACCTCCAACACACATCCATCCTGCAATGTCTGGTAAATATTGAGCTATTTACATGAGATGATCTATAAACCCTCAGGTATTCAAACCGGTAATGGCAAAGCAATATGACTTTTCAATGTCATATAAACGCGAAGAAGTCTTCTTCTTCGCGTTTATAGAAGTCTTCTTCTTCGCGTTTGCGCATAGTCTCTGTGGTGTTTGGTACATCGTAAGCCTGCGCGAGTAAGTACCACCAACCAAGTAATCATACATTCTTGGTTGAAAGATACCATTGAGACCTTGATCTCAAATCTTGAGGTGGGTGGCAGCATTCACTTTGTGATGCCTATGGGCTCCAGTGACTGCTTTACATTAGGAAGGCTGTGAGCTTGTTCCCCCAGCAACGTAATAAAAAGAAACAGCCAGTTATGTTGACATTTATTAGTGTTGTCCCTAAAATTTGGTGTATATTCTTCTAGGTACACGAGCGAATACTCAGAAACACAGTCGCAGGCTTGCAATCATTCACCCTGTTACACGTAAGTAATGGACAGTTTTAGGCACAGTTAAAAAATCAGCCTGTTTAATATTAGTATTAATATTGTTCGTTTCAGGTCACAATATACTAACCGAAATTTGTTCTAACGATAATTATGTTAATGACACCAATGATAGGCAAACACCGCAACCCGTAAGTAGAAAAATGAAAATCTACATTATCTTGTAATATTTCATAGTCCTTGATAATTAACGAAATGTTTCCAACCTAGGAACCAACGCCTAATTTTGCTGAGGAATTTAATAGAAGAGTTTATGAAGTCGCTAAACAACCTAGTGATAGTGTAACGAAAACGAACGTGACAAAGAATGTCGAATTGCCAATATCTTCCATGAGTAACGTTCTATCTCAATCAAATGCAATAAATTATACTAATAGTGGTAATAATAAGTCTGAAATATATTCTATAAATGAGAGTAAAATTTTGGGACCTGATGTTGCTGTTGAAACTAGCGAAACGCCAATTGTATCAGCAATATCAGACAGTCCTGTTATAGTGCCTAAAATGCCTATGAATGTTAAGCAACTTCAAAAGAATAGTGATCAATCTATAGTTTTAGATACTAATGAAAATATACCTCTTAAGCAACACAAAAGCAAAAACGTGCCTCAAATTGAAGATTTTGATAAATCGTCTAATAATATTAGTGTAAATAGCATGAATTCAGCTGCGAATACTAGTTTATTGCAACCGGTGTCTTCCTTTACAAACAACATAATGGGAGTCCACCATAATGCGCCTGTTCAAGCAGTTGCTCCTGTAATGTCAATACTCACGCCTGTAACCGTCCCAGCGCATTCTCAGACTATTGTTACTCCTACAAATACACAAGGAATGTGTCCCTCCTATTTAAATACTCCACAAAATCAAATAATACGAGAAACTAAAGAACGATTGAAATCTGAAGAACAAGAAAGAATTGAATACGACACAACTAATTTAGAAAAAGAAACTTCGTTCACAACCATTAGATCTAATGGCCCTGCATCTTTAGGTGAGTACATATTATTATATACTACTATAGATTGTAAAGTTTTATTCTTTTAACATTCATTATTCCTCATGTCGCTTACAATAGAATAAAATAGTAGTCGAATTAACAAATGATAGGTGAAAAGGTTTCAAACCAGGTATGCTACTAATGATGCTCAAAATAGTCTCAACTGCTTAAGAAAAAAATACGAGTAATAAATCCCAAAAAGAATTACAAAAAAACAAGATCATAATAGTCAAACTGTTAAGTAATTGTTTGCTGAACCCCTAAAATATAAGATCTAAAACTTGACACCTGAGCCTAGACTTGAATTTTGTAGCTGTAAAGTTTGCTTAGCTTATGGGTGCTCTATTTTATAGAGCACCCATAAGCTAAGCAAACTTTACACCTAAAAATATGTCAAACAAAAAATATTTATTATGGGGGAGGGGTATGATCCAGTATGCTAACACTTTAAATTAAGTTTTAATCTGATTGTAGATAATGTGGGGAAATAGAGGCAGTGGAACTGTGATATTAGTGTTCAGTAATTGATTGATACAGTAGTTAATTTCCAAAATAATGTATTATGTTGTAGTATGTTGGAGATTAGTAGAGATAGTAGGGAGACAGATCTTGCTATTGATAGACACATTAAATTTAACCACAGTAATGAATTAATGTGACACAAAATATTTAATCTTTCTGTAGTTATGTAAAATAATGATAATTTATATTATTTATGAAGATAAAATTAAAAGTACACACAAAGTGAAATGCTATTAGTTTCCAAGTACTCTATGGTTATTTGAGGTAACATACTTGCCGGTTGTGAAACTCTTATTTTTCATTTTACCCTTTTAGTACAAAAATCATGAATCACATCAATTTAACACTTATATAAGAGATATGACTATGATATGACTAAAATATATGACTGGCTACATACATACTAGGTACTTAATAGCATCTTAGGCTACCTGTTAATAGGTTGGGGAAAAAACATGCATTTAAATTTATTGCTACTAAAGCGATTGCGAAAGCTTGATATAATTGAACAATTATTAATCTCCTTTTTGAATGGGTTAATAGAATAAATAACAATTTAGCTATCTCCTAAAAAATATGTACAAACTAATAGTACATAATATTTCAAGATTGATCATTAAAATAAGCGTTATGTAATGTGGTGAAATTTGATCAAAATTATCTATCAATAGTCTATCACTAACAACTATTTGATCTTAGAGTTATAACAACTAAAATTAGAAGACATTTAAGTTTGAAATCATAGGTGTTCTACTATGGCTACAGAGGAAAGACCGAACAACAATAGACGAAATGTCATACTGACAGTTGTTGTCAGATGTCATATCAAGGTTTCAACCATAGACCTATATAGTAGGGACACGACATATTGTTCTATACGTACAATTGCTTATATAAATAGCACCCATTTTGAAGGCACATACATAAACATATATCTATCTCGTTCTTACTCAGCACTTTAACTCGCAGGAAAACAATATAACAGTATTTCAGTGCGTACATAAAATGAAACATGAATATACGTAAATGTCTCCGTCTCCGTCTAATGAGGCCGAAAATCCGCCATGTTTAGCGCGCCAAATGTCATTGTCACGTCAGTTCGGCCGTCTGTTTTGGGTTGTACATTATTTATTGACTTTGATATCGATTTAATATGATTGCTTATATAAAATTTCTTATTTTATCATGCTTAAAACATACAAAAATAATAATTAAAACATATTTTATAGGATCTCAAGAAAGTCGTCGGAACTATTTAAATAAAATAGTTTTATAACACTATTGTCAACTCGTTAAATATTTAATAATTAAGTGATTTTAGAGAGGAAGTCACAAGGAATGACGTTTGTAATTTTATTAACGAATAAATGTTCTGTAGGTGTTTTTTTTTATCAGGCGGTCCCTTGATAAGTTTAAAATTTGAATCACTCTCAAGTGAGAGTGATTCAAATGGTGCGGCGTACCTTCCTTGAGGTGCGCTGCGGTAGTGTGTTACGGACTTTAGAGTCAGCAAAACAATTAAAATAGATTGTAATAGTCTAAGAAAAACACGTACTCAAAATACGATAACATTCAGCATGCTAGAAATGGGCAGATGGCACTGTACTACGCCATATCTTTATGTTTTGCGGCAAACGACAACTTTATAAAATCAGTGTAGCAAATTTTAAAAATCGTCATATCGTTTACTTGGCAAATTTGAAGCACGAACTCGTCTTAGATTTCACATAATATCTAAATCACATCATCTTTGCACATAACAATATACTTACTTCCTATTAAAGTATAAATTCTACAAATACATTCACTCAACAATATTTAAAATAAAATGAGCCAAGAACGTTTATCGATAAAACCTACTAACATTAAAATCTTCTGGGCAGCACTAAAACCGCCATGTTTTGTGGCCAGATGACGTCACAGTGGCACGAATTTTTTGTTGACGTTTCATTTCCATAGGTTTCCTACTTCAGTGGTTTAGAATCATAGACCTATATAGTAGGGACACGACATATTGTTCTATACGTACAATTGCTTATATAAATAGCACCCATTTTGAAGGCACACACATAAACATATATCTATCTCGTTCTTACTCAGCACTTTAACTCGCAGGAAAACAATATAACAGTATTTCAGTGCGTACATAAAATGAAACATGAATATACGTAAATGTCTCCGTCTCCGTCTAATGAGGCCGAAAATCCGCCATGTTTAGCGCGCCAAATGTCATTGTCACGTCAGTTCGGCCGTCTGTTTTGGGTTGTACATTATTTATTGACTTTGATATCGATTTAATATGATTGCTTATATAAAATTTCTTATTTTATCATGCTTAAAACATACAAAAATAATAATTAAAACATATTTTATAGGATCTCAAGAAAGTCGTCGGAACTATTTAAATAAAATAGTTTTATAACACTATTGTCAACTCGTTAAATATTTAATAATTAAGTGATTTTAGAGAGGAAGTCACAAGGAATGACGTTTGTAATTTTATTAACGAATAAATGTTCTGTAGGTGTTTTTTTTTATCAGGCGGTCCCTTGATAAGTTTAAAATTTGAATCACTCTCAAGTGAGAGTGATTCAAATGGTGCGGCGTACCTTCCTTGAGGTGCGCTGCGGTAGTGTGTTACGGACTTTAGAGTCAGCAAAACAATTAAAATAGATTGTAATAGTCTAAGAAAAACACGTACTCAAAATACGATAACATTCAGCATGCTAGAAATGGGCAGATGGCACTGTACTACGCCATATCTTTATGTTTTGCGGCAAACGACAACTTTATAAAATCAGTGTAGCAATTTTTAAAAATCGTCATATCGTTTACTTGGCAAATTTGAAGCACGAACTCGTCTTAGATTTCACATAATATCTAAATCACATCATCTTTGCACATAACAATATACTTACTTCCTATTAAAGTATAAATTCTACAAATACATTCACTCAACAATATTTAAAACAAAATGAGCCAAGAACGTTTATCGATAAAAACTACTAACATTAAAATCTTCTGGGCAACACTAAAACCGCCATGTTTTGTGGCCAGATGACGTCACAGTGGCACGAATTTTTTGTTGACGTTTCATTTCCATAGGTTTCCTACTTCAGTGGTTTCAACCAACTGTAGTGATTGATACTTGATTTAATCTGAGTTATCGATTAAACCATCGACGTCTGTGCGATTGATTTTAGCTATCGAGTTTAAATCTTCACACTTTATAATCATGTCAATAAAACATTAAATATTAATTTCATGAAACTGAGAATTAATACCTCATCTAAACTTTTTACTTTCTATCTAGCGTTTTACATTAGCAGTGAATGTCAGTTCATACATAGTTAATTGATTGGTTCACAATCTTATTAAATTAGTAGAGATTTTAAGAAGTTCGTAAATCGATTAAGAAGTATAGATACTGTTTAAAAACGAAATATGTAAATAGATTTATTGATTTATTTTTACAAATACTAAGATCGTCAAAACAGTAAAAACATAATTTAGTTTGTATTACAAGATATTGAAACATTGGCTAACTATAACTTATACTTAACTATAGACTCGACATAAGTAAATTTATTAAAATTATCTACTTATTCGATCATCACGTGGTTTCGAGCTGAATCGATTCCTACGAACTTGCGCACAGCACTAGCTGCATAATTCTTTTGCCGCATGGAAGCAAATTGAAGCAATTCAATATGGCGGCCTTTACTTCACAGTCACGTTGAGTATGGCTGCCTTTTATAAATTTTAAAACATAAGTAAATCAATCTTCGGCCAACTTATTCGGGTTAATTTAACATTTTGAGTAACATTTCAAACTAAGTACTAAAAAAAATATATACTACAAGTGTTAAGAGTGTTAAAAGTCAGACATTCTAGATCCTTGAGTGACCTTTTGGATACTTTCATTTACCATATTGCTACGTTATCGTTACGTATCCTAATTCAGTGAAGTTTTAGTAAATGATTTAAGGATCTAGGAGCTGTGATATAATTTAACTGTCAGTGCCACATAGCGAAGTCTGATATTCAGGTACAGTGCAAGAAACTCCCACGTGGAAATACCTCACGTCTCTATTTTTAGAATAGGTACTTGCTTCTTTAAAAGTGATATGCGAGATATGCGAAATCAACTGCAAAAGCTTTCTGCCATTTTATTTAACGTTTTCATATTTTGCATGTCTAAACTACTCAAAATAAAATAGACGTGAACTTATTATCATATACATTAGCTTTCGGCGTTATTTTAGATACTTGATCCTGTATCCACCGCCTCAATAACGACCACGTAATATTGACAGCTTTCGTATTAGTATACATATAAGTGTGTCATTTAACTTTGATTTACAAGTAACCTCCATTTTGTCAGACGAATTGAAAGTAATCGCTTATTCCTGTTTGATCACTTTCGTGCTTTTAAAAGAAGTTGGTTTCGTATGTCTACTTTTGAAATAGAAAATTTAAATTCAAATGCAACAGTACAACTAAATAATTTAAAGTTTGACCACTAACACACCATGGATACTAATAAAATTAGAAACTAACAGGTAACAGATTTAAAAAAAATCAACATGTGGTCTTTTAAACTGTCACTATGTACTTTTTAGCAAGAAAACGATCTAATTGTAATTTATAGAAATCAAAAATGGCAAAGTAAATAAAAAGTATATTTTTGTTGTATAATATTTAACATAAAAAAAAAATTTAATTAGATTATTTATATTATTATATTTACACTGTTTGTGATTGATAAATGTTTCGAAGTTTTACAAAGGCCAAGCTAGTGTTTCCCTAGATGTTTTATGTTGTAAACAGAAAATTCTCTCTACTATTCTAATGCTCTACAAATGTGATATGACATATTATAAGTAGGCACTGTAGCCTTGATTGAAGTGTCCACAAGTTCCAGTAAGATCCATACCACTTATGCCCTAAGTTGTCTTCTCCTTATACCACTAGGTTACTAAGCTGTAATATGCCTATTATTAGCAAAAACTGTAATTGTAATTTTAATCTAAATTTGTTATAAACAGTAACAAAGTTGTGCTAGTAGTACTTCTAATATTGACATTAAAACACATTTTGCAGTGATTAGTTCAGTTGATAGTTTATCAAATACTACCAACCCTCCAACTAGTCAAAAAATTATAAGTGAAGAATCAACGAAAAACATAGAAATTGTTAATAAAATTATCAACCAAGAAACTGAAACTACAGTTGTTGAACCTAAAACTGAGGTGTTAACGAATAAAACGAAGACTCACATTGATAATACTAATCCTAAAATAACTCAAGAGCCTTTATCAAGTTTTGAAAATATTATTAAAATACCAGGCTCTGAACTTGATAACAAAGAAACATCCAGTGCATTTGATGCTCAGACAAAGTTGACCCAAAGTATATCAAGTGTTTTACGGGTCCAACAACAATCTGACTGTAAAATGAAAGATATTAATCTTAATAGTAAGGCTACAGGTATGTAAATTAATTTTATTTCTGCTAATCTAGCCAATAATTAAATTGTAGGATATGTGTAATCTAAATAATATGTTAACTTTATTAACAGATCCTGACAAAGCTAATGGAAATACTACTGAACCTTTAAGCGAAACTACTAAAGAAGACCTGAATAAAAATGATAAAGCCTTAAAAAATCAAAAGAATAATAACAAAAAATCAAAGAAAATGGCCAATAATAACAAAGAATCAGAGTCCTATGAAAATGGTAAAGATGAGACTGATAAAGTAGTTAATATAGAAGACACCTTGAATGAGGAGTCTGAAGCTAAACCAACAACTGAGAAAATTGAGGCTCCACCAGCACAACCTGTATTTATTCCTAAATACAAGTATAGTGAAGGTCAGTAATTCTCTTCACTAATAATGAATTTAGTGAAAACTAATTAATGCATTGACCACAAATTCATTAATTTTTAGATCAATGGTCTCCTCTGAATAAATCTGGAAAGAAATGTTATGATATTGATTTTTTGAAACAAATAAAGGAAGATCCTCTGTCCAAAAACAAACCAGAGGCTCCGTTGTTGGAAGCTTGCAATGTCATACGAGTAAGTAATTTTCAGAGTATTCATGAAAAGGCATCAAATGCAAACTATCACATAACTTGATGACACACGTTTTTACACAGACTACACCAATGTTGGAACCCCTGCCTTTTGCTAATATTTCAAGACCATCAAGTGATAATTTCTTCCCCTTTGGTAAGAGTTCTGGCTTGGGTTCAAGAAGCAATACTCCTCGTGATATAAAGAGAGAAGGTAGAAATATGACACCAAGTGGTAAGTTATTTAAAATAATTATGCTGAATACATACTAAGCGAATGAAGAGAATCAAATACAAACAAATTAAAATCCATACGTTTGGACAATTTAGCAGTAGCGAATTCATAATTTTTGTAGTCTGATCTAAGGGATAGCACCAGTTCTCTTACAGTATTTGTATCCAGTAATGAGGAACTAATTGGGTTCAAATCTGTAGGCTATGAATTTTTAAAAGAGAACATGTCTTAAATATTTTCACAAAGAATTCCAGAAAGAATATGTAATAAAATCTTACTTTTAAAATTAGTAAACATTGTGTATTTCTTGGTCATTGTATTCTAAGCATACAGCAATAGTAGGTATATTATCCTATCTATGCCGCAAAGCTGACATGTATTCTAATTTGAAGGTTGGGACAACCGTGATACAATATCATTGAGACTGACCTCATGTTCTGATGTGGATTGTGGCAAATATGGTGATGTTTATGTGTTTTAGTAGCCACTTTCACAGTGAGCTTGTTAAACATTGTCAAGATCATTAGATGCGGTGAGCTCTACAGCATGTCTTTTCAAAATAATTGAAAGCAAACTAATTAATGTTAAAATATATTTTGTAATAATAAGATTGAAAACAATAGTGATGAATATGGGAAAACACATAACTTTCATGTTTTTATCATGATGCTGTGTGATTTAATCACAAAACTCCCGGAAAAAAAATGTTTTGTATCTATTGGCGAAATGCGACATCCACTAGTATGTAATTATTTGTATTCATTCGCTTGGTGTGTATCCTCCGTTAAAAGCCTAGTCTTTGTTGAAACTAAATACAAATTAACGAAGGAAACATTTTTATAGGACGTGGAAGCATGAAATTACCTGCTACAGCTAGTGGTAGCAATCCCCACAAACCTGTTATTCATGTTTGTCTAAATGATGATGTGAAATTAAATGAGTCTGATTCTGCTTGGCGACCTACTAGATATGTTAGAGCAGAAAATGCAGATGAAGAAGAAGTGAAAACGCAGGTATTAATTAGTCACCAATTCACATATTATGGAAATTTAATAATGCACTAATCAAATACCTTTTTTTAATTTTATTAGCCTAACTTCAATCGAGGTTTTCTTTTTTTTATTACTTATATCTAAAGAAAAAACCGTCATTTCTACATGATCAAATGAAGTTTTTAATAACTGACTTTGAATATTCTAGTTCCACTGTGACCATATGAATGTGTTTTTATAAAATACTGTGGTCTGTACTGGGACTTTGAACAGGGATTTTGAAAAATTCATAAGCATTGTGTGCATAATTTTAGTGACATGTCAAATTTTATTAATATACAGTAGATCTTGAGGCGCTCTTCTATCTAATTCTTGTTATAATTTGGTCAATTACAAGGCTTAGCAAGGTTGTTTCAATGATATTCCAAACTTTGACAGGTTGACGTTTTTAAGGTTTACTTTTATTATGGCAGGGTTGTTATTGATTCTTTTATTAGTATTATACCATAGTGTATTTACAATTTGAGTACTTTTGAATGTAATCTTTGAGGAATTATAATTTTAAAGAATGTTAGCACACCTACAGTTGAACATTATCACAGCCCAAACCCACTTTTGAGAACAGCCTTTCTATTGAGAAGTTGGTAACTTGTTGGCCCGTAAGACACTTGGTGCCTATGTCCCCTAGTTTCTTTATTATATGAATGTAATACTATTTTTTGTCACTGTCACCTTTCTGAGCTAAACCAGATAATACTCCTTTTGCATGTGGTCAAAATTGGCACTAATGTTTTGCAGTATTGTCTAAAAAAAATAAGTGTCCTTTTCATGTTGTATTATTTTAATATTAAAATAAAAGTTATACAAATATATTTAAATATCAAACATAATCTACAATGCCATAAGCATAACCGAAAATGGGTTGCTAAATGTTTTATGAAAATTGTTATTATGTTTATTGACCTGTAAAGCTCTATGTAAGTATATTGTAGAGCTCTATGTAAGTATATATGAGTCGTCTATGATCAAAGGTGGCAATCTGTGCATTTGGACAAAAAAAAATTATTGATATTTCAATACAGATTTGAATATAATCGTCTCCTTCAAAGAATACTGTTCAAAACCTGCATTAAATAAAGGTTAATACTTAACCTGTTATTTATCTAAGATGTCGTTCAGAAGAGTTTTGTGACTACCAATGGAATATAAAGTCAATAATTCGTTTTTCTGATTTACCAATAATTATCCAAAAGTCACATTGCCGGCTTTGATAATAGTCGACTCATATGACATGTTTAAAAAAAAATTAAAACATGGCCTGTAAAATACCATTTATGCATGCTACTTGTTTAATTACTTTTAGTATTAACATCTCAGTAACATTTGCAATTGTCACACATAAGAATGTCATGGCTGACTAAAGAAGATATGTGCCAAAAAATTGCATTCACATGAAACTTTTAGGATATTCACAAGCCACTAATCATATAATAAATAGCTTATCCAGTAATACCATAACTTCCTTGAGTTTATTTTAACTTATATAATGAAATTATATGTTTTATTCATTTACATAAAACTAATTAACCCTTATAAATAATAATTCAATATATAATTTTAGGAACTATATAAGAAATTCCGAGGGATTTTGAATAAGTTAACACCCCAGAAATTCGACACTTTACTGGATAAAGTGAAAGCTCTTGATATTAACAACCAAAAACGACTCGAAGGAGTTATTGATTTGGTATTTGAAAAAGCAATTGAAGAGCCTAATTTTTCCAAAGCTTATGCTGCCATGTGCCATAAGCTGTCCAAACTGAAGGTAAGAGAGCGAAATTTTTTTTTGTTAAGATCTAATCCATTTAATACTAATGAGAAACAAATTACAGGTTCCTGCTGACAACCCAACGAGACCTGATGAATGTGTCAATTTCAGAGCCCTCATTATTAATAAATGCCAAAATCAGTTTCAAACCGATAAGAGTAATGAACAAGTAATGAAACTAGAGAAAGAAATGACAGAATGCTCTGATCCTGTATGTATTTATCAATTTATGTTAAGGCTATTTACTTATGCTAATATTAATTATCATTATTATTATAATTATTTTTAGGCTAAGAAAAAGGAAATACAAGCAATGATACAAGAGGAGCATAGGCGTATTAGGATGAGATCTGTAGGAAATGTACGATTTATTGGTATGTAATGATGAAAATATGTAAATAATTGAGCAATTGGCATTGTAGGACAAAATAAAACTCCCAACATTTAAATGTAATAATAATTAGAATTAATATCTGTATTGTTATGAAGTTTATTGGAGATAACTGATGACTTTACCTTGTGGTATTTTTACTTGTTTTAGGTGAATTGTACAAATTAAAGATGTTGACTGTAAAGATTATGGAATATTGTATGAATTATTTGATTGATATATTGGAGGAAGAGAAATTGGAGTGTCTTTGCAAATTGCTCACAACCATTGGTGAACAAATTGAAAATGAGCCACAGGATCATTTAGATCCCATTTTCAAGAAAATGCAAGATATTGTCGATCGTAGATCTAACAAAATTAGTAGTCGTGTAAGGTAAGTAGTGCTTTTAAAATGACCTCAATATAATTGGCTATGCAGTTTGAAGGCTGCAAATTAAATTAAATTATTTTACAGATTTATGATTCAAGACGTTATTGAACTTCGAAAAAGGAAATGGGTCACAAAAAGCGTAATAGATACTCAGCCTAAAATGATGGACCAGATCCAGAAAGAAGCCGAGCAACAACAACGTCATATTGAGGTTGGGTTAAGATCCATTCATATTCATGTTTAATAAATAAGAGCACATATAGATTTTTTATTTTTTAGCTGATGAATGCTAATCCCATGGGAGGCTTTCGACGTGACGATGGAGGGCGAGGAAAACGTGGCGGCGACAACCGAAGACAAAATACTAACCCTTACATGGATAATAATTGGAAAACGACAAGAACTAATTTTGCTGTGGATACTTCAAAACTAAAAGCCGTGTCACAGAAGGTTGCACTTGAATTTTTTAATTTACCTAGTATTATTATTAGTTTATGATAATTTCAATGAAAAATTTTTTTATAATACTATTACTAATAACTTTTTTATAATATCGAATTTTCTATTATTTTTTTGCAAATAAAACCTAACCATACAGATTTAATTTTATTCACTAGAGTTTAAAATTGCCTACATTTTGCAGCATTTTGTAATATGTGATAATAATCTGCATGTTAAGAAATAAAATAATTACTAAGCCAGTAATTTTAACTTAATACCTATTTCTTTGCTGATAGTGAAATTTATAAAAACAGTTATTATATTAAACATTTATAAATTATACCCTATTAGGTGAAATTACGAAAAATAATTAAATCGTACAATTTCAGGGTATGCCAATCAAGCTGGCTCCACACAACTCTGGATGGAACCATGGTTCGGGCACAAAAAATACCGCCCAGGCGGCTGGTAGTAGTAATTCAATGATAAGCTTGACTAAAAACATGTACAGCATTTTAGAGAATGTGTCGACTGAACCAACTTCCCTCAGAGGTAATTAAACTGTTGTCACATTAAATTTTATAAATAAGATCAATCAATGTATTCTAAATTAATATTCTGTCATTTTTAAGGTACTCAAGACCTAACACCTACTTATCATTCTAAAGGAGCATCTATTGAGCGATCCACATTTAATTCAAGACCTGAATTTAGTAAGTTAACACATAACAAATTATAAATAACTCTTAACTAAATTGGTTTCTAATTACAATTTTTTTAAATTAACAGGTGCAACCCCAGGTAATCGCTCTGATTCAATGGGACTTGGTCGCTCTAGTTCAGGTACTCGTAGTACAAGTGCTACAACAACACCTGCACCTGCTCCTACAGAAAATGTGCAACCTCTGAATGCTCCAGTACCGCAGGAGCCCATTAGCGAAGCCAAGAAAGGATCTGTCAAGTCTATGATTGATCTTTGTCTCATACACGCATACTATGATGAAATGATTGTGGAATTTAAAGATGAGTTCAAACCTGAAAATCATGCTGCTGTAATAAGTGAAATATTCAATATAGCATTAGACAGGTACGTTATTGAAAATATTTTTGTAATAGTAAATTTTATCCAAAACGAATGTGCTAATGAATTGTTTTCAGGTCAGCAAAAGAGATAGAAATGATTGTGAATATTGTACAATTGTTGGTATCAACAAATACTGTCTCACCAGATAATTTACTAGAAGGCATGAAAGAAACATTTGATTGTGCACCAGATTTGTTTATAGATATTCCCATGCTGTACAATAATTTAGGCAAATTTGTAATGCCACATATTGAAAAGAAGGTAATCAAAGTACTTCTGATAATGAAGTTTTAAAACTAAAATGAACCAAGATATTAAACTTAGTTTTCAATTGTACTTTTCAGCATATCACATTTGTGCAGTTGTTTAAACTGTGTAACACAATAGTATCATCAAATCATGGGCATTTATTACTAAAAGCTATAATTAAAGAATTAAAAGAAAGTATGGGACCTAAATTTGTCAAGAGTAAATGGCAAGAGTCCAACTTGAAATTGGAACAGTGGATGAATGAGGATCAGGTAAAATTCACATTTTTTTGTGAAATTAATTAATATAAATTGAATAGTCACTAACCAGATCTTATGAACAGGTTTCAAAATGGATTGAAGATAACCATTTCGAATTCCTTGAAGGTGATGTCAAGTCTAGTGAGGAAGAAAATAAGAAAATTTTATCACCATCACAGACACAAGATAAATTACTGCAACTTATGAATACTGATGAAAGTTGTGAATGTATAAAAGGATGGGTACAGGTTAGTTAGTTTTAAAGTTTTTGTTAATTTAGCATGTCTGGTTTTAAGTTTTATATCCTTTATTTAAAATGAAATGTATAAAAATTTTCAAAAGGATAAATTTGGAAAATCATCCAACGAAGAATGGTTTATGCGGTCTCTCATACAAGCTATTTGTGAGCACGCCTTATTTGGTCCAGAGAGACGAGATGTGCCACATTTTAATCGAGACCGTATGAATAAATATGCTAGCCTCATTCAAGACTTTGGAGAGACCAAACAAATTAGAGAAGCAATTTGTTTATTTGGCATACAACAACTTATACACAAACTAGAGCACCCCCAAGGTAAATAAATACAAGCACAAATAAAAAAGTAATTATAATAATAAAACATGTCTAAAACTTGCATATTTCGTTCTAGGTCTATCATTAGAAATTTTCCAATATCTTCATGATCAATACATCATCTCTTTAGATGGTTTTATAGCTTGGTGGGAATCTGACAAAGAGCCAGAAGGCAAAGGTACGTGTGTTTGAAAAAGTAGTAAAAAAATTTACATTTAAGTATTAAAGTAAAATCACCACCATATTAAAAAAAAAAAACTGTTATAGTTAAGCTCTACTTGGTAAGGAGTTTTGTAGTCCCACACTTTTAGGTACCACCACCATATATACATCTTGTAACAATTGTCTTAGCCTGAAGAAACCAATCTGGCATATTAGTGTTGTGATATTCTTGTAACAAAAACATGTAGGTGTTTAGTTCCCTTAATAAAAAATTGGATATGTTGATTTTAGGTGTAATGATGAAGGCGTTGACATCGTTCTTCATGAGTATCAAGGCAGAAGTGGAAAACGAAGATTCTTGCAGCGAGGACTGACGAGGGATCTCGCAGGCGGTTGTTGTACCCACGCCGCCCGCGCCCTCTTCGGGATCATCCACATACGATGTCTACTATGTTATATTTTACTAAATCATCCTAATAGCAACTGGTTGATTTATATAATTATAATTATTATTAAAATGCTTAATATAACAAGCTAGATAATAAAGTTGTATAATATTTTTGAATGCTTTATATAGATATTTGTCAATTTTCATCATTTGCTTAACAAATTAGTTCCATAATCGTCTTTTGTCGAAAAGCTCTTTTTGGATAGCGCATTAAGTTGGTTTGCATTTTATTGGATTATTTTATTAAAATCTTCGTATGAATGTATTAAAATCGAAATGTTCCTGAATTTGAACTGGCTGCAATAATTTGTATAATTATGAAAAATCTGTTTTCTATATTAAATATCATGGGAGACAAGCAATACTAGTTGTTAGAGTAAAATCGTTACTATACTACAATGATGTCCAATGCATCGTTGTCTCATGGGTGACTAGATCGTTATTGATTACCTGTTAGTAGTGTTTTTCAGTTATTCTCACAATTTAATACATTTTTACATATCTTATACATAGACTAATGCAATATATATTATTTCATTAAATACCACAATTATAATTCGTAATTATTAACCATCGCGTATTTTAATGAAAATTGTTTGCTAGTTGGAATATTTTAATAGGAAAATTTGCGTAGATTCTATTTAGAATCTGGTGAACAGAGTATATAAATAAATAAAAGTTAACATCTTGAATGTAAATCAACTGCGTAGAGCAATATTATGGTACCCAATAGTTAAGTTAGATGTAAAATACATATATAAAGATGTTATATGTAATAATAATAAATAATAATATTATATATTGCTATCATTATCATTACTCTGACCATTATTATTTTATTATTATTATTATTATTATTGGATGAAAGTTACGAAGGCATGAAAAATGTTTTCGTAATAGTTAACGTATCGTTTTCTTTTTAGCTATAAATAATACAACCGGCAGCACTTTTGTCATAATGTTGCATAAAATATATTATTCAATTGTAATTTAAATTTAAGAGTTCGACGAGTAATGTTCAAGATGATTAAATTACGGTTAAATTCATTTACATATGCGGTGCGGTACACTCGCATTCGTATTTGGGATATAAAATACATTAAAATATGGAATATATAATAATATTATTGCTGTGACTAATTGATATGGTTATTATGGTTTCACTTGACATTTTTTTGAATTCCGGTATTTTCGTTAATGTTGTAATTTTTCTTCTATATATCTATTTATACCAAATCAATTCTCCAAATAGCACGCAAATTTGATTTTTATAAATTTTAATTTTTTGTTTACTTTTAATTTTTTAGGTTAATTATTTCATAAAGTCCCAATTAGTTCAATCAACGTTTCATATCCTCGATATATGTTAATAGGCACAAAAAAAACTATGGGCACAGAGCACCATTTCATAACAATAAAAACATGTAGTAAATTTTAATATAGCAAGCCCTGTTTTGTCTCAATATATTACTATTGTTATTTTTATATAGCTAATCTTATCAGTTATATATGTTATGTAAATATATTATACTGAATTATCCTGTTAATAATAATTATACTTGCTCGTTATGTATGTTTGGCAAAATTTATATAGACCGATTTGTCAGTTAACAATAGCAGAGTTATAAGATAAGTACATAGTTATCGACAGAGCTTTTATACATCATTATATAATATGTATTCATCGAGGAATTTAGTTGAAACGTTATTTATTATTGAAATTTTATAAAAAAAAACTATATAAAATAAATCTCTAGGTGGGATTGAACATAGACGTCGTTTAATTTTTTTAAATGTCCCACTTACACTTCAATTACACCTTAAGGCCTCTGTAACTTGGACTATATTAACATACTGCCAATGATATTTAATTTTAATGTGGAAAATTAATTGCTGTGCAATCAGAATAAGTCTCACATTTAGAGAGTATACAGAATTATATTTAATTGAAATAAATCCCTATTTATATTCACAAGTAAAAATATCACCCGAAGGTGGATGTTTCAACAGTAAAAGGTGTACCGAATTAATATTGTCATACGCAATTGAATAATGGACTGAAATATTATTTATTGAAACCAAAACGCAATTTAGAATGTGTTTGAGAAATCCTCGAAAACTTGAGCGAAGCCTCTTGTAAAATTGTAATTTTATGTAATGTTTTTTGAGCTCAATGATGAGGGAGATGAGCGGTGCAGGACCGGACATGGTGCGAACCTCGAGAGAGAGCTATGTCGTACAGTAGACGTATAGGCTAGTAATGATGAATAATATTTGTCTGTATTTAACATTAGCTTTTTACGATTTGAACATTAAAAATTAACGCCATCTTGATTGTATTTCTTTTAGCACATTGATAGTTTACTATGTTACCGGGAATCCGGTACAGACTTAATGTTCACTTTCGCGCGATCTACCTGTCTTATATTTGTACAATCTTGCTACTTTCCGTTTATTCACTAGTTTGACGGAATTTGATTTGATTGATCAAATTCAAAATCAAAATTTGATTTGATTGATTGATAATTAAGTAATATTTTTTATTTATCCATGTTTATTTAACCAACAAGTACACAAATGTCAGGAATTTGAACACAATGACCTTAAATAACTTGTGTAACTTGGCCATCTTGGCGTTGCCCTCCAAACTGGATGGAACTGCGGCGCTATAACAAAAGGGTCTTTCTTCGCTACAAACATGCATACTTGCATTTCAATGGATTTAATTGCACTAAATTAAAATAACATCTTGGAGACCCGCCCTAGAGTTTTTCACCTCAGACACAAGTTTTAATCGTCTCTGCTGTACTACGCTCCCAGAGAGATCCTGATGGCCGAACCACTTCGATAAAGCGGCACGACACGAGAACCCTCTCATCGTGGCCGCCGGTAACTACATTCCCGATCCTGCGGATAGAATGGAAAGCAGTCGACGTCGCCCAAAACACGTCATCTCGGATCCTCCCGATCCACTAACGGTGCTTCTAGGTACTTCAAGCATCGGTCACCGTTCCCGTCGAACCCGTCGCTTGCGACGAAGGGCTCGACGAGTAAATTAACTCTCAGACACAGCCCACTGAGTTTCTCGCCGGATCTTCTCAGTGGGTCGCGTTTCCGATGAGCCCCGTGAGCTCACCTACTAGCCACGGTTACGCTGAAATAGCCTATCAAGGCTATCAGCTTAGGTAGGAAAAAAAAAAAAGATGGCCGAAATATCGCACATCAGCTGTGCTGTCATCCGCTTAGCAATGCATGCCATGAAGAAATAGCATATCAAAACCTATACGTTCCGTTTTAACCTATGCAAGTGTAGTGTTCATAATTCTCCCCAGATTATCCAATTCTGTTTCTGCAGGATAGTCGTTGGAGTACCGTTGTACGTGAGGAATGTTGACCTTCACGAAGATCTAAATTTAGAATCAATATGCAAGTTTAAGATTGCGTCAGAACACTATTTCAACAAAACGGTACGACACGATAACCCTCTTATCAGGGTCGACACTAATTACATATCTGACCCAGGTGACTTGGCAACGCAAACCCGTCGTCGTCCAAAGCATGTCAGATTCCTGGGATCGAGTTTCGGTGCTTTTTGTCGGTTCGACGAGTGAACTAGGAACCCATATACAGTCCACTGAGTTTTTCGCCAGTTCTCTGTAGGTCGCCACTCCGATCCGGTGGTAAATTCTGCGAATGACTGGTCTTGCTGGGATGGTGTTAGCGCTACCAGGGAATAGTTAGGGAAGAAAAGGCAAGTTATTGATATACAGGATGAAAAGCGTGGGCGAGAGCACCGAACCTTGTGGAACAATTTTTAACATTAGGTAAGAGTCTCGTCCTTGCTCTCCGAGCCTTCAGCCTAACGATAGGTGAGGTATACAAGAAGATCGCCAGTCAAGCAACCGTGATGGAAATCCAACTGCCGGTAACTGATCAGCCGACGAACTTCAAAATATGTAAGGAACTGAATGTCAATATTTCGCTCGATCGCCTTGGAATGTATGGAGGTTATCGCGAGATTAGTCGAACATAATTAATTGCTGCTACGCTGTCAACTGACTGCAATTAGCGGTACATATTCTACGTAGTTATTGCACTAAGTATTGTTAACTAGGCGTTCGACCAAAGCTGGCACGACGGTTTGATTTACAAACTATAACTTGGGAGTGACAGACTTGGGTTCATCATACAAGAATACTTGTCGAACAGCTCGTTTCGATATCGCAAGCCTCCACGCTTTCCCCATTACTGTTTAGTTCATATATCAATTATATACCCTGGTCTCCTGAGACCTATCTAGCGCTTTTCGCCGATGACACGGCTATCTACTACTCGTGTAGGAAGAAGTCGTTTTGCATCGGCAACTCCAGACCGCAGTCACCACCATGAGACAGTGGTTCCGGAAGGGCCGCATCGACATCAACTCCAAGAAAAGCACAGCGGTGCTCTCCAAAAGGGGTCGCCCTCCGAATACCACTTCAAGAAGCTCACTCCCAAATAGGCGCGTACCTAGGCGGCACTGAAAATTTCGGGAATTAACGAAGTGACACAACATTACTATTTAAAAATGTATTTATTGCTTTTCGAAGTATTCTCCGCGAAATTTGACACATTTTTCCATACGATGGAACCAATCATTGAAGCAACCATTCCATTCGGAAGTTGGGGTCTCCAAAATGGCCGTTTTGTAGGCGTCCACAGCTTCTTCAGGTGATGAAAATCTCTGTCCACGCAATTTATTCTTTATTTTAGGGAAAGTATAGAAATCATTAGGGCTTAGGTCGGGGCTGTACGGCGGATGGTCTAATAATTCTATGTTTTCTTGCTCTAAAAACTCTTTTGTTCTGTGCGCGGTGTGAGAACTCGCATTGTCGTGATGGAGGATGATGCGGCGGTTGCAGTTCTCTTTACGGAGTTCAGAAACGACCTGTGGCAAACAAATGCTAGCATACCATTCTGCATTAACCGTTCTTTGTCCCTCAAGAGGAATAGTCGTAACATGGCCGGTTTTGGAGACAAACGTGGCCACCATTTTTTTTGCAACACTCCGTGAACGAACAATTTTTGTTGGCTTTAACTCATTTTCGAACACCCAAACTCGTGACTGGTTTTTTGTTTCGGGTTCGTACGCGTATATCCAGGATTCGTCACCTGATACAATGTTGTATACAGCATTTGAGGATCCTGCGTGGAATCTTTCGAGAGTTCTGACGCACCAAGTAACGCGAGCCGCTTTTTGCTCTTCACAGAGCGAATGCGGTATCCATCGGGAAAACAACTTTTTTACACCTAATTGTTCATGCAAGATTATTTGTATTTGACTCATGCCAATGTCTAAAGTTGCCTGAATTTCGCGGTATGTCACATGTCGATCTTCCTCAATCAGCTTACGCACAGCATCAACGTTTTCTTGGGTGACTGCAGTTTTTGGACGACCTTGACGGGGATCATCACTGAGCTTGACACGTCCACGTTGAAACTCAGCAAACCAGCGATAAATTGTGGTTTTGGATGGGGCTTCATCACCAAATGCAGAAATCATCCGGTCAACACACTGTTTTTGTGTTAAACCACTTCGAAAGTCATAATAAATCATCGCTCTTGAATTTTCTCGAGTCAATTCCATTTTCTCAACGACTAAACAAGTTTGACAAAACCTCGTGACAAGACCGAGAATCTTTTTTTAAATAAATAAATGGTATTCGATTTTTAAAACCAAGGAGTTTTCAATTAAAAAGATTTTAATATGACAGGAACTGTGGAAATATTTCATTCCCGATACTTTTAGTGCAGCCCTCGTAAACACCTCCGCCATTCGCCCCATCACTTTTTCGGTCGGCCTTTTTAGGTCTGCATTGGAGGTGCTCAGGTAGCTGTTAGCAAATCTCACCCCTCCTGGCTGATGAGCCCTTGCTCGACCATCTGTCCTGGTAAAACCGGATGACCTCTGGGCCACCAGTAGGTTATCCCTCATTCATAAAAAAGGAGTGTCGACCGGACACTAAAAAAATATTATTAATTTAAATCCAAATAAAAGATTAATGACTCGCTTAAATACTTTAATGTTTGTATATTTGCATACAAAAATCAATGCCATTAAGTCGCATAATTTCAGAGTAATCTTCGATAACCTTTAAAACCATTTTATTCCAGTGATCTGTCATAGATTGTTCGTGTTGTATTTGAATAGATATTTTTTTTAATTCTGTAAAGCAAATAGTATCTTTATTAATCGCTTTGTTGTCACTTTCAAGACAGGCTATTTAAAAAGTTTAAATAATACATACCTATCATTTTTATTTATTTATTCAGAAATGTTTAGTGTAGGGTGCGGTGGCATTTTGTCATTTTACGAAAGACAAAAGCGTGGTTATGCGATTTGCTTTGCATGCACCATTTAACATCTGGTGGCCTAACCTAATTTACGTAGGTACAATAAAAAGTACAGTAAGGTCTATTCGCGAAAATCGAAAAAGAGATTAGGAGTTCACGACGGTAATAAATTGAGTGTTGTGATTGAGTTTTTTATTTGCGCACGTTTTGGAACTGAATTCTACTGGGGCAGCTGTCGTGCTCGCCAAACTTGGACATGGTAAAACGTAGAATTGGTTATGTTCCTAGATTGTTTTTTTCAATTGATATTAAGATAAAAGAAGACAGAACGACAGAAAGACTACAGTCGTTTCGACTTCGAGCTATTTAACGATTTAATTTTAACTTTAAAAACTCAACATTTAGCCAGTAGCCAAAAGCGCCAGCATTAGTTATTTAAATTTCAATTAATTTTTAAATAGCAATTCAGACAACACAAGAATGTTCCAAATCACATTGACAGTGATAGGGGTTAATGTATAAATTATTAGCAGAAAGCGTTAAACATTCTAAAACGTTTTAAAGAGAAAATCTGTTCCTCTATAAATAAAATATTTTATTACTCAAGTATGACTTCACAGACTTCATTATCTTCACCATTACATTATAATAGCCGGCAAACTTCTTGAGCATTTGTTGACGTAGTGGGGGTAAGTTTGCGCATGGTACACTCACGTGCAAAAACATTATTTACTCTGCGTCATAATGCAATTAAATTATTAAAATCAACATATGTATTTATTTATATATTTATGAGAACATCAACAAAAAAAATAGGTTAATAATTGTAATAATTTAATATTGGGGTAAAATAGATATTCCTTCTATTAATTCAAAACTAGAGCTGTTGCCAGGTCTTGGTTCAGTTGAAGCGAAGCTGGTATTTGTAATTTTTTTTTTTCGTTATCATAATCTTGAGCATCATCATCACTGTTTTTATCACCCAAGTTGCTATCATCGTGATGAGTCGACATAGGGATCATCGGTGTAGTTTAGAACTCGGTCGGTTCGGTCTATTTTTTTTTTCTGTAATTAATTATTTTTTGAAGATATTCGATTCGTAGTAATCGAATGTAACTTTTTTCAATTACCAGCTTCCGATTATTTTCTGTTTTTTTCCATCGGAAGCCTAGCTCTTTCATCATTCGTAGTAAACTTCATACCGAGCCATTAAAATTTATATCTCTTTAAATTTTTCGAAGCCTTTCTATGGTACGGAGTTTCGCTGCTTGGTAGTTATTATGATTACATCTTTTTATTACAGATTGAACGAAACTATCCATTCCGGTAACTTTCTTCTTCCCTGATCTTTTCTTACCCGGAGTCCGAAACACGGCGAGCAAGCCAGAGCCTTTAGCTTCGTTAATAATGCACCTAACAGTACTCACGGATGTTTTTGTTGCTTCCGAAGTCTGTTTTACTTTTTCCATATCATTCTTCCCCTGTTTTATAATGAAGCAATATACGTCGTACACAATTTTTCTACTTTTGAATACTACACCAGTTTGTCGCGGCATAGTGTATTTTTTATAAAAAATCAACAAACACTCAACAAATAGCAATGGCAACAAAGTCAACAAGCAATTATAACAAATAACTTAACGATTAATAACGATAGACTTTTCACTGTACGCAAGCGTACTTTTGGGAGCAAGCGGAATGAGGGCGCGGTGCGGGACGCAAGGNCGCGGCATAGTGTATTTTTTATAAAAAATCAACAAACACTCAACAAATAGCAATGGCAACAAAGTCAACAAGCAATTATAACAAATAACTTAACGATTAATAACGATAGACTTTTCACTGTACGCAAGCGTACTTTTGGGAGCAAGCGGAATGAGGGCGCGGTGCGGGACGCAAGGTTCGACTGATCTACCAATAACGCGCTCGATACGATTTCCCCTGCCGTCGCGCCTCACCCTCGCCACCAAAGTGATCTAAAATTCGGTTCTGCGCAGTCAAGGTCATTTGCTCAAGAAGTTTGCCGGTTACTATACCCTTAGTTACAATAAGGGATTATGAAATCATAATGTGGATACGTGTTACACAATTAAAAAGTGGGTATGTTATAAATACAAAATACTAACTGGTGCAGACTCCGCAAGCTAATAAATTCAGAGTTTTGTGAAGATCCGTTTCGTCCACATTTCCTAAATAATAAAATCTTACTAGTCTTGGCATTAACTCAAATATTCTTCGTAGAGGAAAAATTGCACTGCGCCACTGATGAATGCCCAGTGTAGCTGTTAGTAAGTATAGTAACATTAACATAAAAATTATATTATATTAGTAAAACAATGCCATCTAGGCATACGAGCTTAAGGCTCAATTAATGTTAAGGGATTGCCCACAACATGAATTTTGTCTTATTTAAACATGAAATATTCCTCCTTTTTATCACCGCAACTTCCGCCATCGGAGCAGAGTTCATCAATATTATCTGGAACCGCTGCGTTCATCGACAGTACGATTCCAGAGGTCTTTTTTGCCACGTACCATCCGGCTATGGAGTGAGCTCCCCTCCACGGTGTTTCCCGAGCGCTATGACATGTCCTTCTTCAAACGAGGCTTGTGGAGAGTATAAAAGGTAGGCAGCGGCTTGGCTCTGCCTCTGGCATTGCTGAAGTCCATGGACGACGGTAACCACTCACCATCAGGTGGGCCGTATGCTCGTCTGCCTACAAGGGCAATAAATATTTCAAATTAAAAACGACTATGCATATTTTTCAATCAGATATGCGTGATCTCTATTCTTCGGTAGAAAAGGCAGAGCAGGCTTAAAAATCTACACCACATCGTACCCACAACTCGCCTTACTCCTACCACATATAAATTTGAAAACAAAATGCGCGTTTCGTTTTTTTTTGCGTGGCTTTATTCATAGACTGAAGCCTAGGCTGAAAAAGCATATGCCCCAGGATCGTTTTATTTTGCAGGTTAGCTGTCGGAGCTCCGTGGTTCGTGCGGAACGTTGACTTACACGACGATCTGGGCCTCGAATCGATCCGAAAACACATGGAGTCAACGTCAGAACGTTGCTTCGATAAGGCTATACGTCATGATAATCACCTTATCATAGCCGCCGCTGACTACTCCCCCAATCCTGATCATGCAGGAGCCAGTCACCGTCGATGCCCTAGACACGTCCTTACGGATTCAGATCCAATAACTCTTGCATTAGACGCCTTCAGCTCTAACGCTAAGAGCAGGCTTAGAGATCCCGTTAACTGTACTCATCGAAATCGATAAAGGGCACGCATGTATCATGGATCTTCTCAGTGGGTCGCGATTCCGATCCGGTGGCAGATTCATTCGCGAAACAGCTGCTCTTGAGTTGCTAGGTCTCCTTCGGAGGTGCTCGGGCGGCTGTTAGTTAATCTCACTCATCCTGGCTGAGCCTTTGCTCGCCCACCTGTCTTGGTGAAACTGGAAAGGCCTCTAGGTCACCAATAATCCTCCAATGATAAAAAAAAAAAAAAAAATTACAGTTGAGCTCACAGTCACCCTGATAATTAAGGGGAAGGAGTGGACTTAATGTATTTACTGATTTTTATGTATAGATGTGTAAGCAAGCTCAAAGCTCATTTGGTATTAAGCGGTTGCCTGAGTGAACACTACCACTCATCTTGACATGAGGTCATGTTCAAAGGCAACAATAACTTGTTGAATTTTTTGCGGTATGGGTATAGAAATATGAACAAATAGAAATATCAAATACTACCTATAACAAAGACAATGACTCTAATCGTGAATCGACTAGTCTAATGACACCATCGAGTAATACAACATTCTCTGATCACTTACTTAAATGAAGTAACAGAATGTTACTGGTCATTTTACTTTATTCTTATTTTGACAAAACAGTAAAGTACCGAGTAAAGATCTCAGCATTTTTAAGCAGAGTAGCTGATGGTTCGACGTTGATCCGGTAACGCTTGCGGTATACGTCCCGGATGAGACAAACAAGGTTTAAGTATAGGTATAGTTGCCTACGAAATAAACTGCCGCGGTCAACGTTGAGCCAATTTACTTCAATTTATTATTATCATTCGATTATTGTATCTAAATTCCAAAACCATAAACATCGATATTTTAAGATCTAGATTCATATTATTATTATGTTATTACATTTTCTCTTTTCATTTTTACAGATATGTATTTAGATAATTATTGAGGGCACTAAAACTCGCGATACAAACACTTAACTTATTTATTGACTAATAACAAAAAAAAAAGAAATTCTGTTCCCCAACTTGGGAGAAAATTTTGCTTAACTATTTAGCGGAAGTGGTCTGGACTGCTGATGTCCATAAACGAAGCTGAACGCGGACCTAAAATAATATGGTAGGTTACCTGGTGTGTTACAAGCCAATCGATCTCATTTTAGCTATCAAGGAACTTTGCAATTATGTGTACCAAGGTTGGAAAAATTTCATAGATTGCAGTTAATGAGCATCAAATTTGGGAAAATTATTATTTAAATTATATTATTAATTAAAAACGATTAATTTTAATTGTTAAAATTAAAACGTGTTTTTTTTTCATTCTATTTAATTATTTACTACTAGTACCTAGATAAATCAAAATACCTACATAGTGTACTGGCATAATTAAACGCCAAATGTCGCACAAAACAGGAGAGATCGCTGTCCTTCCTTTCTACCAGTTTTACATGAATGCCGATGTGGAGATGCGTTTCACAAAGCGGGATACTTGGAGATAAAAAACGTCTCACATTATCGTTGTCCCAGATTCTATCTAGAAAATTGTTTTTTTTTTTTAAGCTACAATAACGTTCTCTATTTTCATCTTCAAGGAAATACATATATTCTACACTAGCTTTTGCTCGCGACTTCGTCCGCGTGAAATAGTTACTTTGGCATAACGCTAAATTTTACCCGCCTCTTCATTTACGTAGAAAGTGAGAATATTTTTGAATAATAGAATGTTAAAGAGTTATTTAAGGTACCAAAATCACGTTTTTTAACCGACTTCAAAAGAGACTCTCATACATTAGACAGATACAGATACAGAGAATACTCTCATACATTACTTTAGCGAAACTTTAACCGTTTCCGCAGCGCACGCAGTGGAAGCTCTCAAAAGGGATTAAAACCCCCATTTTGAAACATTCTTTATTGGCTTTTTTTTTAATTTATTGCTTAGATGGGTGGACGAGCTCACAGCCCACCTGGTGTTAAGTGGTTACTGGAGCCCATAGACATCCACAACGTAAATGCGCCACCCACCTTGAGATACAAGTTCTAAGGTCTCAAGTATAGTTACAACGGCTGCCCCACCCTTCAAACCGAAACGCATTACTGCTTCACGGCAGAAATAGGCAGGGTGGTGNTTATTGCTTAGATGGGTGGACGAGCTCACAGCCCACCTGGTGTTAAGTGGTTACTGGAGCCCATAGACATCCACAACGTAAATGCGCCACCCACCTTGAGATACAAGTTCTAAGGTCTCAAGTATAGTTACAACGGCTGCCCCACCCTTCAAACCGAAACGCATTACTGCTTCACGGCAGAAATAGGCAGGGTGGTGGTACCCACCCGTGCGGACTCACAAGAGGTCCTACCACCAGTAAGAAACAGTGGTGCTCCGCTTGCATTGGTCTTAGCGTGATGTTACATAGCCTTCCTCGATAAATGGGCTATCTAACACTGAAAGAATTTTTCAAATCGGACCAGTAGTTCCTGAGATTAACGCGTTCAAACAAACAAACCTTTCAGGTTTATAATATTAGTATAGATTAGAGGCTTTCTGTACAAAACTGTGATTAGTATAGAATTTAAAAACGAATTTCAAACCAAATGCCATGAACAGGTAAAGATCTGGACAGGCTATAGAAACTCTCCTCCAAGCCGTATCTGGAATATTATATCCGCCCACTCCGAGAGCTGCGTTCGTACGTCCAGGTACGTGATTTTCACGACAAATTAACTGAAATATACGTTTTTATTAATGAAATTCTAGGGGATATAAAATTATTGTATCATCAGTAATCGAAGTTAATTCAGATTAAGTTATTCTTAAAATAATATTAAGTTTTAAGATTCTGGAGTACATACATTTAGTACATTTAGTAAATAATGAATGGTTGCATATGAAAGCCAGACGTGGCGACAAAATAGTAGATAAACAAACATAGGTATTCTGAATAATGGGTAGAGTTAGATACTTTAAGGGCCCTCAACGAAATAGCGAACATGTGCAGTTCTCTTTTCAAGGTCTGAAATGTCTCAAATATATTTATTTATAGTTCATCCTTAATCTCTACGTTTAGAAAGTTTCTTGTTCGACTACCTAAACTAAAATTTTAATATACAGTCAAACCTGGGTAAGTGAGAACTGGATAAGTGAGAAAACTCTATAAGTGAGAGTAATAGCCAGGACCCGTCATTTTAAGCTCCCAAAACCTCTATTAGCGAGAAACAGAAACCTCTGTAAGAGAGAGTCGTTTTTCCCTCATGGAACCCGTAAGTGAGACTGCTACTTATCTATACCTCTATAAGCGACAGTCGAGCTTTATTTATTTATATTATTTAGGAGGAACAAGTGCAAAAACTAATTACAAATTTAACATCTGCTATTTTATGACTCATTCTTAACTTTTGTAGAACTTCCTTCCATTGTTTTTGTATTGTTTTCTCGTCAATATTGAACCTATTCTATTTCGTGGAACTAAATAACGTTGTTATTTTATCACATTCTTTTCGAATGGACACGTACGCCTGTGTACCGTCCTGTTTGTCGGACTTACTCAGTTTATTGTTAATCAGTTGCGAAGGAAAGTTCTGTTCAGCATCATGTCTAAACGGAAAATTAAAGTACTGTCATTAAGTGATAAACCTAAAATAGTGAATACGTTTGAATCCAGAAAATTGCGAAATGAAATTCAGACGGAGCATTAGCGAGAGACTCGGGCTAGTGAGAAACCTCTTTAAGCGAGAATGAGATTGTGCTCCCTTGAACTCTCGCTTATCCAGGTTTGACTGTAATTTCTCTCATGAAAACATAACAGTTTTGTTTAGTTTTAAAATACAACCTGCAAGCGAAAATTTGGTCTTTTCAGGACGGGTAATAAAGATATTAGAGCTCCTCCCGTTCCATCGGCTATATGAGAGTATTCCAAAGCCAACATCCGAAGCTCTTTCATAACACCGAGACTTTGTATAAAACATCGTCTTGTTTCAGGTCTGGAAATATATTGGCCACTACCTAAAAATGAAGTCACAAAGTTTGCACGGGTACATAACACCATAATGCCTATTGGTACCTCAATACAGTGATCCATTTCGTTTACTTAAATCAGATAGGCCCTGAGCTACTTAAATTGTGAATTATTTGAATACTTAATAAGCTTGTATTGGAAATCGAAAGAATGAACATCCATAAGTATGATCCATCTAATGTGTAATTGTGCTAGTGGACAGTCCTTATCCTGCTGAATTCCCGTGCAAGCTTTGACACGTGGCTTAATGCAACGTTATTATGTATGACGTCATTCGCAGCTAAAATAAGCTATGACCTCGCTCGTATAGCGAGATTCATGACCCTTTTCAGCAACTGTAACTTTTCTATTGGCGGGAAGGCTAGTGTGGTCGGTTATATTGCCTTCACTATGCCAAGAAACCTAATGGAATTTACTTATACTAAATTAAAACGATTAGCCGCATATGCCAAAATGCATTATGGTAGATTTTAAACCAGCTAGTTTTTTTTTTCATAAGTGTGAATAATAATAATAAAAATACTTTGAAATTATAACATAAATAAACTCACCAACAAATTTCAGAAAATGATCACCACTTGGCCTCTTATGTTCTTTACTAAACTTTAGATGATGAAAAATAAAATGGTGATAAACGAGTGTAAAAATAAACTTAACAAGTATTAAATAAAAGAAAAGACAAGACTCCGGTGATCCTGCCCGAGTGTATGGAAAATTGCCGATTTTTATACACACGTACCCATCTGGTGTTGAGCGGGATTTATAGGAGGAGAAAACTATTATAGTGTACTTATTGCATTGAATGAAATCTTTCATTTCACCAAGAATATTGATGAGATATTTAAATATAATAAGCCTTACTACTTTGGATTGGTCTGTTATTGGCCTCCGGTTACATATTCTGATAATAGTATTTTAATAGCTACCAAAAAGCATGAATAGTAAAAATCTATATTTAAAAAGACACGTTGAGATGATAATTTTACGAGTATTAGCCTAGCTATTCGATCGGTTTCAAATGCAATGTATGTAAATATACAAATAAATTCTTTTTAAAGTAGCAATTTTCCCTAAAGCTAGGAAACAGAAATTTATTTTTATTTTATCTTTGTTACATTAACATTATTCAACTAAAAATGTTAGGGAAAATCTTTTAATGAAATGTTCATACAAATTTATTGCTCATTAAGAGTAAACAAGTAATATTTTTATTTAACACATTTGTACTGCAATCCGAACAGGATTAGCTAGATTTTATGAGGTTCGTTTTGATCAACTGGTGCGTGCGCCTCTCGTAATATCGCCGTCGCAGTACTATTGCAAACAGCTCTGTACTGAAAATTAAATAAAGTTTTCTTTGCTTCCTCTACAGTATCTACCAGTCGGACATACTCGACAGGGCGTGTCGTAATAGATTCTTCTCGACTTTGTTTTATTATATCACTCATTTCTCCATCCGACAAAGGGGCGATCAGGTCTGTAGCTTTGTCCAAGTGTCGTTTTAGCTCGTTGTCGATCCGGAGCAGTTTTTCTTTATTGGAGTTGGTTCGCCATGGCCGCTTAGGATCTGACTCGTGGCCTATTAGATTAGGAGACGCTACACTATTTCTGTAAAATATAAGATCTTGAGCAATTTTGTATTATATTGCATACATTTCTTTCTATGACTCAATTGAATGTGCTTTTTTTTTATTGCTTAGTTGGGGCTCCACCTGGTGCTAAGTGGTTACTGAAGCCCATAGACATCACGCAAATGCGCCACCTACCTTGAGATATAAGTTCTAAGGTCTCAAGTATAGTTACAACGGCTGCCCCACCCTTCAAACCGAAACGCATTACTGTTTCACGGCAGAAATAGGCAGGGTGGTGGTGAGTCCCACGCGGACTCAACAAAAAACTAATAGCATATCACTAGTCACTTCGAAATTTAAATTAAATAAAACCATATTGATATAAAGATAAATAAATTAAGACGGGTTTTCAAATCGTCCTTTTGGAACGAGAGTTAATAAAAAATGATGTTTTTATAAAGGATTACCTAAACCTAAACACGTTACATACTCGTAACTGACCTTTTATTTTTTGACATCAATGGTTCCAGTTTCCTTTCTATTTCTTCAAGTTGTGATTTATCAACTATGTATGGATTTTCATACGTTTCGTCAACGGATTCGACTTTGTCCTCGTCTTCATTAGAATCTTTACCGAACTTTTCCCGAATATCTTTTACAAGACCAGAACAACGTTCAGGTAATTGATTTTCTTTGACAGCGACATCATGTAGTAGTTTCGCTATTTTCGATTTTTCTTCATCAGTCATCATCTTTGAAAACTGTTCGATGATGTCTGGCTTCGTGTTGTTTATAAAATATACTGTCGCCTTGGTAACCATTGGCATCGATGCTCCCATAGTCAAATCAATTTAGTGGGGTCGGAAAGAAGATTTTTGCAATTTTTTAATTTGGTTTGGTGGTTGGTTTTATAAATTTGAAGCACCAACTAATGAATTCATTTTGGTGTAAACAAGTTGATGGTAATACGAAAAGAAATTCCCTATATACATTCCTAGCATACCCAAAAATGCAGCACACGGTAACAAGAAACAAAATAATTTTATACTAGGACATAACATGAACATAGGTGCGCAATTGAACATTTTTATAAATTTTCACTCACAAAATTTACTTTATTGAGCCCGATCTTAATGGATATTGTGTATTCACTGACAGTTTTTTTTTTAATCATATAGGTTTCATTTCTTCGACATGCTTAGGCTATGCGACCTTATTTTATGAAAAACTTTTTTCACGAATTTACGTAATTTTAATTATGCTCTAAATATGAGCAGTTTTTGAGCTCATGGTCTCCCTGGTAAGTAAATAAAGGAGTCAATATACATCACTAAAACTGTCGCTCACCGGTATTGTAAAACGATTACCCTTCGGACTAGAGGAATGATTCGCATCTGAAATATGTAGGTAGGATGGTGACTGATAGATTATCTCAAAATTAGGTATATTTCTTAAAATCTGACTAAATTAGAAAGTATTAAAAAAAGAGTTAAAAAATACATAAGAGCGAGAAACCTTCTCACAATACGCGCCGTATCAAGAATAACAGTTTTCTGTACAAAGCTTCTGAGTCAGCAGAATAACGAAAGTTTTTTAAAATGTTTCACTATCAAGCCGTGTACTGATGCAAGTATCGGAACAATGATAGTTGAATAAAGACGCCCCATGTCGGTAGTCTCGCGGGATAGGCTTAAATAGTTTTATTAATTTGTCCTTTCCTGCTTTCATGTTGTGTCGTCAACCTATTGGCGACAATAGCCCATGATAGTATATCGGTTCCAGTAGAGCGTAATATAACTATTTTCAATAACCAGTTGAAGTTGGTATTGGTAATAAGGCACAGCAGAATCGACAAAATCGTATTTTTGTGCAAGTTGTCGATGGATAGTCTTAGCCTTTTGCTTGCTAATAACATTATAACCTATTTCAACAACGCTAGACTAAAATTTCTAATTGGAATCGCGTATAAAATTACAACTGCATATTGCAAATCAACATAGTTTTTCTATTTTAAAACTTTTTAAAATTAGATATGACGACTTCTATAGAAAAACCCGTCCGAAAAATCTGTAAATGTGTTCTTACATAGTGTACTTATTTTATATACTGTTACGCCGGTAAGAGTAACGCCATCTATTGCTGAATAGCCGAAACGAATATCAAAGGAACTCGTATCGCCAAGAAAGCTCGAGAACGCCATCTGTTGTCAGATAGCGGAAACACACATCGAAGCTACTCGACTTGCTCAGAATGTTCTCGATAAACCTAGGGATGTCGTACCGGCTATAAAAGCGTTACAGAGATGGCACGAAGGCGGTTAATAATCGGAACTACTCGAAGCGAAACAGCGAACGGATCACATGAAGCAAAGCAGAAGAAGTAAATTGAGAATTTGATAGTGCTCGTTAAGTGTTTTAAGTGTTCTAAGTGTTAATACAGTATTAATTTATACTTCGGTATAATTTTTTATTTATCTCGAAGCCCAGCCCGTAACAATACTATGGTGTTGATGGATATGGTATGGATGGATGGTATGATAAATAAAATATATGCTAAGGTATAAAAGGCGTTACTTCTGTAATGTAACAATGTAATTGTTGAAATATAAACTACACACATAGTTTCTAAGTGCATTGCGAGACCATACGTAAATAAAGTGGGGGTCTCTCAAAGCGCAGTCAAATAGCATTAACGATAACGAGAAACTAACTAAAAGTCACGTAATTTAACTAATGTCAATCGCATACATTTTTGTGTTTTATACCGACTAAAAAAGGAAGGAGGTTATTAATTCAACTTTATTTTTACGTTTGTTATCTCAGAACTCTTTTTCTGAGTGAACCGATTTAGTTGAAAACCCCTTTAAAATTTTATAAAGATCTGACCGCTAGTTTTTGAGTTATTTATTTTGTTATTGTTATTATTACGCATTTATTTTGTTGAATTCGGTTTTCTTTTTATTCGGATTTCAGAGTAAGATCTTTTACTGTCAGATCAACCTAGCCAACCTAGAGATTCATTGCCAACGTGTCGAATGCATCAGAATAAGGACTTTCGTGATTATTTCTCTGATTAATGTCCCCAAAGTTAAAGCAATATATTTTTGAAATTGTGTGAACTTACCTGTTAAATAAGAGTAATTAATCAACAATGGATTTTCATTGGGTAATACAAATTTCCATAGAAACAAGTATTTCAATGTATCCGCGTTGAAGCAAGCTAACTGTTGGACTAGCCGAACACCCTCGAGTCTCTTGCAGCGTAAATTTTCAAAAGAAACTAGTTGCAATTCGTTCTGGAAACTAGAGTAAACTTCAGTCAATTTATCAGAATAATTTTTAGTATACAAACGTCTTAGTGCGCACAGCGGGAGGTCCTTGGTTGCAGAAGGCGGAGGACCGCATTCTGTGGAAGGCATTGTGGAAGGCCATGTCCAGCAGTGGGCAGATAAAGGCTGATGATTGATTGACGCAAACGACTTGCACGAGAGTTAATATCCTGTTATAAAATTGAAATTATGAATTGCAATTTTTTTTAGGTTTGCGTAATGATTTGTCTTTAGCCGCAATCCGAACTCGCGCTAACTGTCACTACCCTGCCATATCCACCGTAAAGCTTGTACAATACAATTGAGACTTCCAGCTCATGTCTCAAGTGGTGGCTGGCATTTTACGTTGTCATGTCTATGGACTGCAGTAACCGCACGTGTACTCTTCTAGCAGTAAGAAACATATTATATCTTTAATTGGATTTAATAGTTACGATTAAAAAAAATATTAAATTCATGAAATGAGTAATTAAATAATTTAATTATTCTTTTCATTTCATTCTTACTGCTCATCCTCAAAAAAGTAAATATAAAATTGAAATAAACTAAATAAACTATCGAAATAAAATGGCTCAAACCTAATTATTTTCAATAAATAATCAAAGAACGTTTTCCTTTTAAAATAATCCAGACAATCAATGTTGATCAGTTGGTCTGATATAATTAATCTATTCATTTGAGCTTTAGTTGAAACCATTTTCTGCAAAGTAAATGTTTATGTTATTAAATAATGATCAGATTACCGATGTCTTGATTATAAGTCAATTAATTGAATATGACCGATTTTAACCCAAGTTTATCTCATTTCGATATTAAAGATAGCACATACACACAGCACAATACCAAACGTGAAATATTTTAATGGATTGTTAATCAATTTACATTATTCTCAATTTAAATTATTCTCAATTTACATTATTCTCAATTTACATTATTCTCAATTTACATTAGTTACCTTTAAAGTTACTTCCAGGGATCGATTAAATTCTTTCAAATATAATTTTGGTAAAACCTTCGTTGCTGTGTTCGTTTTCCACAAAGTGTTTCCCAAGCGACTGGGCAACTTCAAATTGGGATATTGATGAGTGAATAGTATTTTTTCACAGTGAAGGTCACCGAGGAAATACCGTTGCACGTCATGAATTGACCAACATCGAGAGTACGCGTTTCTATAAAGCGTAGTATAATATGTAAGTTTTAAAAACATTTCTAGTCCAATTATTATGTAGTTGATTTATTGATTAATACTATAATATTATAAAGAGGAAAAATTTGTTTGTTTGTTTGTATTGAATAGGCTCCGAAACTACTGAACCGATTTGAAATATTCTTTCACTGTTTGGAAACTACACTATTCCCGAGTGATATAGGTTATAATATTTTTTGAAAAAAAATTAGGGATCCTTACTAAAACTCCAATTATATAACCCAAGGTGTAAAAAAATTACCTAAAATATTTTTTTAATCGCGTGCCCCGCGAAAACTATTGACGATAAAATAAAATAATGTATTAGGACTTTGTAGAACACATTGTTATTTACAAACAGTGTCGCGACAGCATTTGTCTAACTATTATAGTTATGTAGCAATAAGTGTTCTTTTATTTAAAAAAAAAAAAAACCTCAAAATTAAATATCGTTGATATTTTTGTTAAAAACCCGAGCGGAGCCGGAGCGGGCGGGCCGCTTGTTGATTAATAAAGTAAATAATAAATTTGTTTCACAAAAATGATCTAGAGTATGTGTAATAGTCACAATTTTGAATTCGATCTCATGTTTCATTTTGGTGGTGTCGGCATTCACGTTTTGATGTGATTCATATATGTAAGGTATATTTACAGAAACTCAACATAATCGAATAAAGCACAAATCGTTTAAAAACTTTCTTATACATAATTTACATATTACATAAATAATATATATATCTTGATCGTTTTTTTGAATTTTATCGTGTCACGAATCATCACCTCTAGCACCGTAAAGATCGGCTTCCGGGAAAAAAGTTTAAATAATGAATAAAATCTAAAGTAAATGAAGCAACGGACACCACACGGAGTACTTATCTTATTATTTAAAATTCTGTGTCGGAACCAATTAGTGATTTTACCATCACCTAGGCTTGTTATCTGGTCATCCATGGCGGGCAATAATAATAGATCGATCAAGAATTTGAGGTAAAAATAAAAATTAAAACAAATGTATTGGATTGTGTTCATTGAATACTTACAAAAGTACCTCATCTTCGACCAGAAGGCCATCTGAACTTTCTACGTAATGAAGCCAAGTGAAAGGATTCTTAGTCCAGTCTTCAAGATATAGATATCCTGGACTGGGACGATAGTAACGAGGATTTTGTAACCACTTAACAGCGTCTAAATGTCCGATTAATTTGACAAATTTGCAGTCTGTAACGGAATTAAGTTAATTATTTGGTTGTCTTTTGTTTGCACACTTCACTTTCACTGGTGGTAGGACCTCTTGGGAGTCCGCACGGGTAGGTACCACCACCCCGCCTATTTCCGCCGTGAAGCAGTAATGCGTTTCGGTTCGAAGGGTGGGGTAGCCGTTGTAACTATAGAGACCTTAGAACTTATATCTCGAGGTGGGTGGCGCATTTACGTTGTAGATGTCTATGGGCTCCAGTAACCACTTAACACCAGGTGGGCTGTGAGTTCGTCCACCCATTAAAACAATAAAAAAAAAAAACAATTTGATTACATAAATCTCTACTGTGTAACTTCAGATAAATAACAAAAGACACTGTGTTTCCCAGGAAGTGTGTGAAGTATTGTGCTTTCTGTGCAGATTTGAATTAAATCGCGTTGACATTTTAATTTCCATGTCTCTGGTGGGTGATCTATGTCTCATATGGTATGTATGTGAACGTCTATGGACTGATATATAGATAGGAATATATTAAAATCATCCATTTCCAACAGCTTAACAAACATTATTGATGACTCAATCAATTCAACAAGACTGTAATGTTGCGAAGCAAATTAAAAGTATTGTTTTTAGCCCACCGAGTTTCTCGCGGGATCTTCTCAGTGGGTCGCGATCCCGATCCGGTGGTAGTAGTAGTTTCTGTGAAGGACTGCTCTTGCTAAGGCTAGTGTTAGCAAATTCTCTCAGGTTGGGCCCGTGAGCTCACCTACAAGTCGGGCATATCTTTTTTTTTATTACTTAGATGGGTGGACGAGCTCACAGCCCACTTGGTGCTAAGTGGTTACTGGATCCCATAGACATCTACAACGTAAATGCGTCACCCATCTTGATATATAAGTTCTAAGGTCTCAAATATAGTTACAACGGCTGCCCCACCCTTCAAACCGAAACGCATTACTGCTTCACGCCAGAAATAGGCAGGGTGGTGGTATCTACCCGTGCGGACTCACTAGAGGTCCTAGCACCGTTTAAATCTGGATTAGCCTCTTAAGTTACCAGAACAGGTAGAAGAAAAAGTGTTATACATCAATATAAAGCTTAGTTCATATTGTAATATTTATTAAAATTTACCTTCGGTCTGCATTTCTGCTTTCGCTCTCAGATTTTACAATAATGATAATTGTTAGATTAAACAAGTAATATGGTTAAATTAAAATTGTTTCAATGCTTAACGTACATAGTAGTAGCTGTATAAAGACAATAATATTTGTGATCACTTGTTTAAGTATCTACATATTATTAGTATTAAGTATGTAAAAAATTGAAATTAAATAAAAATAAATTTGATTATTTGATGAAGGATTGGATTTGACAGCGATGTTTTGTTTGTTTTTTTTTTTCAAGATATATGTAGAGCGAATAATACGTTTTGCCACTTTTAAATAGGTAGACAAAGAGTTATTATACGATAATACGAAAATATATAGTTCTGGAATGGTAAGGGCTAGGAATCAAGGGCCAGTATATAGCTCACATTCGGTTTGTCGACGATATCGTGATTTGGCTGAGACCTTGGAAGACCTCAGTAAATTGCTCAATGATCTCAGTAGGGCTACTGTCTCAGTGGGCCTAGGTATGAACATGGCCAATACGAAAATAATGCCGAATGCCCATGTAGTGCCCAATCCAGGAGAGAGCATTATGATTGAAGTTGTAGACGAGTACGACTACTCGAGACAAATTGTCTAACTAAGTAGGTCTTTAAAAAGAGAGATTAATCGTCGAATCCAACTAGAATGGGCAGCGTTCAGGAAGTTGCGCAAAGCCTTGTCATCCCAAATACCGTGGAGTCAGAAGACGAGTCTTTGACCAGTGTGTGGAAACACACACATGAAGAATCGCTATCCTACAACTCAGTATCTTATTAATATAGGAAGATATTATTTAAAAAAAATGTTGCAAAAAATTTAGACTCTATTCGCATTATTAAACGTGAGTTGTGATGCAAGTAGGTCTGTATGCTGGAAACTCCCAAACAACTGATCCATTAACGGTGCTTTTAGGTACCTCAAGCACCGATCACCGTCCTCGCCGAACCCGTGGCTTGCGACGAAGGGCTCGACGAGTAAATTAACCCACAGACACAGCCCACTGAGTTTCTCGCCGGATCTTCTCAGTGAGTCGCGTTACCGATCCGGTGGTAGATTCTGCGAAGCACTGCTCTTGCTAGGGCCAATGTTAGCAACACTCCCGGCTTGAGCCCTGTGAGCTCACCTACCGGCTCGGTGAATCTAAAATAGTCCTTCGAGGTTACTAAAATAGGTAGATGAAAAAAAACGAGATTTGGACACTATTACAATAAAAAGGTTTCGAGTAATAAAGTTATTAATCGTTTATTTGCTCATTTTACACGTATATATTTCTACAAGTAAATAAAAAACCATTCGCTCCATTTTTTGTGTAAAACATTTTTTTCTAAATGGCAGTTTTACTTTACTATTCGAATTACGTCACAACTAACAATTATAAAATTATCTACTAAAACGTGTTATTATTATCACACATTAAATCTAGTCAGGTATTCAAAGCTTAGTCACTGCTTGGCTATCCTACGATAATGCAGCTACAGTAGTGAAATTCCATTAAAATATATAAATATACATTTAAATTAAACATGTATTCATCTACTTTGTATTACATTAAATAATGAAGAACATTCTTATAAAAAACGGTACATTTCAGTCGTTTGTGATGTACTTTATCTTTGCTTAAGTCATTTTGATTTTATTTATTTGGGTGTGGTTAATATTAGTTACGTAAGTAATATAGTGATGTGTGATAACACTAATTAGTATCTACCAAAATTAAATTAAAACAGCGACGTATCTATCATGCAGTATTTTAAACAATCGTTTGAATAATAACGCGACGAATATCAATGATTGGTCTAACGCCAACGTTAATTCTAATCGATTTTTCATTAATTTTACTTCCACTCATTCCCATACTATTAATTCTGTTACGCAGCACGGGACTCTCTTAATTGTAGAGTAGGTATTTTGTCATCGCTTGTTATTAACTAATTCTGACCACAATTTGTTGTTAATTTACTTTTGGTAATTAAAAACTAGCAACGTTTAAGAAATCTTATCAGAACAATTGAGAATAGCACGACAAGAGCACAATAATACGATATTATTTATATTATTGCTTAGATAAATCGATAAATTGAGAGACACAATGTCGAAAGCCGTAAATTATTTGAGAAAATCGACTTCGTGTGTATTTTCAGTAATGCGAAACATAATCACAGCCTATACATAAATAACTAACTGTTGGGACACTGAAATTGAAAGCATTCGTATTGGAAGTATGTATTTAGAGTGAATGGGAACTTCTATCAAAAGTGAAGGAGTATATTAATAAAAAATATGTTAATCATGTATGAGATGTAACTTGGTACAGCTGTCATCGGTAAAGGTTTCTGTCATAGTACTATCAACTTACGCCAGGTAGTGCATGAGTAGTTTGAAGAAATTGATGTTTTGTTAATATGTTCGCGTGAGCAACGTCTTGGAACATCGTGTTTTTTAAATAATGAAATGGCGCAACGTCATTTCATTATTTCACGGCCTCTAGATTATCATATTTATTTTGTCGAAACGTCTTTGGACGTTTATTTTATAGGCAAATTCCTATGACGCATCTACTTAGCGCCGCAACACATTCGATTTTCATAAGCTACACCGCCGCGTTCCCTAAAAAAAATCATCATAAGATGTATGTATGTATTACGGCGGGACGTTTTTAGACGTTGCTAAACTTTGTATGGGAAAAAGATGCGCCACAGTAGCAATATTCAGAAATGAGGTTGCTCACGCGAACGTGTTAAGCGAGAGTTGCAGCGTCAACAAACTCTAGTAGTGTTTGGATAAATAAATTAATGAATCGGCTGATAGGCGAGCTCAACAAATCTGCGGGACCGGGTGACTAGCTGATCTCTCGGTTATTGACCTCATGTTTCGTACGTTTTAAAGGGTAGACTCACCACACAAAACAAACTAAAATTTAGCCTCTAGAGTTCTCTAGAGGTTCCCTTGCGGCTCTTACTTTCAGTGTTGCACTACTAACGTACTTAACACGGCGCAATTATCAATCGTAGAATGTATACAATTGAATTTCAACGGCATTATTCGGTCATCTACTCATACGGTTATACGCAATTATCGCATAAGGCAAATAAACTAGAGTAATTCATAAATATAAATTACATTTAATTTGAAACTTATTCCAGTTAAATCGAGAAAATAATGTACTATATATCGACGCTTGAAAGGCAAAAGTAACTAAGCGACAATAACTGCTTTGTACAGAAATGATAGGCAATAACCATATTCGATGCGCAAAAAATATATATTTCTAGGTCTATTAAAATCATTTCAATCCTAGCTACTAGCTACTACTAGAGAATCTAGCTACTAGCTAGATTCTATTACAGCTAGATTCGTTAAAATAAATTTTGTTTTCAGGTATTTCGACTTTAAATTAGTCTACTGTAAAGTTCACGCATTGTCGCTTAGTCACGTTTGCCTTTCAAGCGTCGATAAGTAAAAATTCATTTATGGAATGACTGTAACAACATTTATGACGAGGGATTACCGAGATTCCACTGGTTAGGTCTCGTTCATACAATTGGTTAATTTGAGACAACAGAACGTTGTTATTTTAATGAGAAGATTTAAAATCCCTATACAGTTAAAACTATAATCTAATACTATCTCAAAGTGTGAACTAAGAGTGTGAGAAATCATTTAAAATTATAACACTTTATGAAGAATAAACGGTTAAAACGATTTGTGAATGAATCGCATATCGAATTAAAAGAACCTCATCTACATAATTGAAATGCAACTTTCTTTCATTTATCGTGGTGAAGTGTTAGCATATATTTGTGAAAATAATAAGATCAACATACATTTTATCGTCGCGTGTTAATATAAATTTTCTAAAAACAATAAAATTATTTAGAAATATAAAATCCAAAAAAAATGTTCATAAATATCCGCGAAATCATGTGCATATTGACTAGGAACGTAAAATAAAATCATCAAACTCCAACTTCGCTTCCTTCCTCAGTTTACTTGTAACTGCTGAAAATAAAATAAAGTTAAAATTTTATATCGAATCCAATAGATCGGCTGCCAATGCGTGACTTTATTCTAACATACAATTATCGAAATGTCACTTTCATTTTCAGTTACAAGTAAACTTACAACAAATCCCTTCATATACCTTAGTATACAACTTTACAATAGCACCTCCATACAAATAACCATACAATAACTGTCCTAAAGAAAGTCTTATAAATGTGAACAATATCAAAATTTTGGTCTTAATATACTTAGTTTTTTTTTTTGTAAAATTTTTTATTCGTAATTTTTAATAAATTACGTCAGTTTTCACCTAAAGAGAGCGTAGACGTTATGAATATCCGGATGGAATATAGTGACGATAGGTACACTGAGAATTATTTTCATATTAAACTCTCCTAATATTATTTTTAACACCCAAATTTAAACATTTAAGTTTTTCAAACCTTAATTGTCTATGTTTTTTTTGCTTTCCTCTTAGAATCAACATTTCGTTTAATTGCCGTTGAGTGGTATTTGTAGGAGGTCGCGTTTCAAGCGGTGGGCTGTACGGCTGAGGCGTGCGGGTGCGTGGACAGGTGCGTGGAGTCGCTCCGTCGCGGCGGTGCTGGTGGTGGACGCTTCTTTATGGGCTTGGGTTCCTCGCGTCGCACTGCCGTCTGTTCCGCACTATACACGTTCTCGTAGAAGGGGTCCTCCACGCCGCTGCCGTAGTGCTCCTGCACCCACATCGACACGCTCGTCTCTTTGTAATCATCCGCAAGTGGATATTCACGGAAACCAAGTACCTCGTGCGGAGTTGTTGCCGGTTCGAGTTTACACTTTTGTGCGACTTGCCATTTTTTCCGCATCACCCTCTGCAGATCTTTTAGAAATTCCTTTGGAGGATTACTGTTTGAATCGACTAGCTTTTTCGGTGATGTAAGTCGAGTGCTTTCGTTACGTTTCGGCGGGGGCGGTTTCCGCGGCGAAAGCGGAGGTTGCTCTTTGAGATTGAACGAGATCTTTTTGACCTTCTTTTCGGAGCACGTCGGTAAGTCATCGGCAAAATTAACTTTTTTTATAGAACCCGTTCGCTCCTTCGTTGGTTCAGTTTGTGTGATCACCTTTTTTTGAATGGAGGGGCTGCTTAATTTTTTAGTCTGCAACTCGACTAGGCAGGCCCCATACGCGACGTTTTGCGGGCCATAAATGCTTTTGTCAGATGGGAGTGACGAGCTACGCGAAGCCTCCGAGTGGACGCTGTCGAGAGAGGGTTGCCTCGGGAAGGAACGGGTCGGCTCACTTGTTCGAGCTGTAACTCTGCATTGACCAGCTCGCGAAGCTTGTTCTATTTGTTGTGCCGTCAGTTGACTGACGATGTCTTGCACTCGACCACTGTTGGCCTCCATGGCGTGCTCGGGTGGTGGTGGGGGAAGGCTTAGTAGAGATCCCGACAAATCCTCAATCGCGTCCAGCGGTGGCGGCGGTGGAGGAAGGCTGTCGAGGCTCAGTGTTGAACTGAACATTGCGTCTGGGACATCTGCAACGACAGGGGGCGGTGGCAAAGGCAAATCTTCAACGGTACATTCAGCTTGTTGTTTCTGCACTTTGTCGTATATTGTGGTGTATCCGTACAGAGATGAACTATTGTCTGTACTGTTTCTGAAGGAGCTGTCGCGAGTTATTGTGTCATAGTGATCGTACGTCGGAGAAACAGGCTCCTTTCGGACTGGACTTTCTGTACTTGTAATGCTCACGGTAGTAGCTGTGCCATACACACTAGTATCCGTTGAATCTGTAAAATGGAATAGTAACAAATTTGTTATCAAACATTTTTCATGGATAATTTTGATCAGTTGAATCCTTTCCGAGATACCGAAAGTTATTACACGCTTGTAAAATAAACCCACGTATGACGTCATGCGTCTAGTAACGTTTACGTGGTAAATTTAAAAAGGATTAGTGTTCTACTGTTGAACAGTTGTAGAAATTATCTTAGAATTTGATATGGGTTTTCAAAAAATATATTTTGCAATTATCTTTACGAAATGAGTTGTTATTTATAAGACCATGGAACGTACCAATATTATGATGGCGCTTCAGTGTAGAGTCATCACAGCGATTCTTCCTGGGCTTCCTGGTGAGTGTCCCCGAATCACCGATACCGTCAGCCTCTGAAGTAATATCGTCTTTCTCCACCATCTCTTTCAATTGTCGAGTCATCCACGTTAGCGGAATGTTGGGTTTCATAGATGGTTTGCGTTTTATTGTACCTGAAATAATAATTATATTTAAATTACTTTTCATCAATGTGCCACGGTTGGGGCTGAGCGACCTATTTACTGAAACATCAAGCCTTGGAATCTTTTTGCACAATGATGTTTATCTGACGCAACTAAAAAAATTCTTTGAAATTTTAGATGAATAAAGAAATTTCGACTATTTTTTAAAACTTACCCATAGGAAATTCACAGTCGAAAGCGCTTTCAGAAGCAGTACCTCCATCCGATAGACAACCACTCGAGCTCGATGAAGAAGCACGCGAATGTCTGTTTGACAAGAAGAAACGGTATATTTAATAAAAGCTATTTAATACCTACGCTTTGTAATAAAAGCATGTGTCGGAAAACACGGCACTTTCAGGAAGTGTTTGACTACGCTCGTATTTCTCAGGATCCAGGGCCTAAGGAATTCGCAAAATGTGACAAAAATGTTGGGATGGCTAATAAATTTTAACCAAACTTTCTAGTCATTTAGATGTTCTAGTCTTCGCCCAGTAATTGAAGTCCGACCATAATCCGAAACATTTTATTTTATTATATTTTCTGTATTCATTTTTTTATGTTTTGTTATTGAGATTTTGAATAAAAGAATTCAATATTTCCAAAAACTTCTTGTTGATGTTGATGTTTAATGTTTAACACACGTTCATTAGCAACTAAATAAAAAGGAAATATCGCACTTACGATGCGATAACGTCACTTATGCAAATTATGTAATTTTTCATGAGAAACGTTGGAAAATTCAACATCTTATTGTATAATTCTTATATCGTTCTGCTAGACTATTGAAATAAAAGAATATTTAAACTGCAACTTTAAACTTCATCAGTAAAAGCAAACATCTCTCGCGTCTCACTAAGAACTATTAACAAATGTATTTTCTCATACTCGGTTCAGCGTTAATACAAATTGCATTAGTGACTTTATAGCACCGTATGTGCGATATATTAATTTATAAAAACTGTTATTAACTGCTAAGGGGGAAAACAATTATAGTAAGTCCACCGCGCTGCTTAATCATCATGCAAGGACAGGAAATTCGATATTCCATTGCAATAGAGGCTCCGACTTCGCATCTCAAGGACAAAGTAATAGGTGATATTACATTTTCGGCCACAAACTAGCCTTGAACCAGACGGGTTGTGAACGTTCCTATCTGCACTATTAAAAAGTTTGGGTTTCGGAATTGTGCTGTGGGCATGATAATATGCAAGATGATATATACATATCGTCGTTGTCAAACCAACATCTCCTATGTGCACTTTTTGTGATTTTTACTTTTTGACCTTTTCGTATAGTTCACAGTCCTATCTAGCCTATAAAAACTGTTATGTGTGTGTTTAATATTGATTTATAGCTTTCATTTGATATAGTTCTTAAAAATTCACCTTCATATAAAAGTTTATACGAAAATATTATTAATCGTTAATTCTAAATAAAGTGTTTGCACATAGCAGATTTTGGTTTGACAGCGACGATATGCAAAAACTACGCAGACATTACATGTTTATTTTAACTATATACATCACAGGATCGACATGCGTGACCGTTTGTGTTCTGTATAGGAATAGTTTTGATGATAGTGGAGAGTCATTATTAATTGTGTCAAATCTATAAACGGCGTGTGTGTGTGTGTGTGTGTGTGTGTGTGTGTGTGTGTGTGTGTGTGTGTGTGTGTGTGTGTGTGTGTGTGTATGTGTGTGTGTGTGTGTGTATGTGTGTATGTGTGTGTGTGTGTGTATGTGTGCATGTGTGCGTGTGTGTGTATTAATACCAAAAAATAATCAATTTCGCATTCACATGTAAAACGCGTCGCACAGCAATCGCAGACATACAAACAAGCAAAAAGAATAATAAAACAACATTTTTGAAAACCAGACCATTAGGCATAGCGAATGTTGATTATGGCAGCTCCTTTGAAATAAAACAATGATTGTCTACTTTGGTATTTCAAACTTGAAACTTTTAAGATGTCTTCGTTTTCCCAATATTGCATGAGAAAGCTTAGATTTCTAGTATGACTTGATGTAAATTACATCGGTTTAATTAAGAACTTCACAGCAACGATGGGTGGATGAGCTGACGGCCCACCTGATGTTCAGTGGTTACCGGAGCCCATAGAAATCTACGTTGTGTAAATGCCGCCATCCACATTTACACATGTTAGTTCTGAGAGCAATGTAACTAGAGACTAATTATTTTATAATAAATCTTTGAATTAATGCCCATTAGTCCAGTTTTCTTGATTATGTAACAGTTAAACGCACCTCCCGCTGCTAATGTCCGAGTTGGCAACACTCATGTTGCTTGACGTTGATTGAGCTGGACTATTTATGTTTGTCACACCGTTGTTCGTTTTTGTCGGTATTGAAGTAATCTGCGAACAATGTTTCATTTTACTAATATTGCAATTAGAAAATGCATCCGTATTAATAAGATATAAGCGATAGCCAATTTTCTATTTCAGGTTTACGTGTCCGGAATGCTAAAAGTAATTATTAGAGATGATCGATTCAAAATTTTACGAGCATTTGAGATGTTTGGAGTGATTTAAATGATATAGGATTTTTTTATTGCTAAGATCGAGCTCTCCGATCACTCGGTGTTAAGTTGTCACCCGATATTAAAGTGCCCAAGACGGAAACTTAATTAGGGCTACATAATGCAGATTCTGATAAATATATAGATAGACGCAATCCAGTGATAGGAAGCAAAAAAATAGATTGAAGATATTGCAATGCCATGCCAGACTAAAATTAATGCACATTTTTCTATTCCATTGCCTAAAAACTTAATTTGTTTGGATGATAAACTATGATACACACGTTTTTCTTTTCAGTTAATAATAAAATTTTATTGAAATGTTTTTTGGAAAATTTTACTGACATCAATATTTTTTTTGCTGTAAACAGCTTTTTTAACAAAGCTGTTGAAGCCGCTATTCATTATATCATTGGCTAATTGTTTCCTATATAAATGCTTTAACTATGGGAACTTACGGAACAAGAACGCGCGTGAGCAAGATGATCTAAATCTTCTTGAGTGAGCTCCTCAACTAAGGACCGGTAATTTTCAAGCAATTGCCTTCCATGCTGAAATTGAAAACGTGGAAAAACTTGTGATTTTTTTAGACTAAAGAAATATACGGTAATTGACCAAGATTATATGGTTAAAAGAAATATTCTTAAATTTGTTTTATTCATTTGGATTCTAGTATTAAGCGCCAAGGAATGAAAGAGTTTCTAAAAGAAATTATAAACTCTATTGGTTATTTATATTTCATTGGCGACAGTTAGTATTTAAACGTACCTTAGCTATTCGCATAGCTGTCATCCATCTTTCCATTGTCTGCTGGTCTTCAGCGCACAAGAACTTGATAAATTTGACGCTTTTCGGTTGCTGGAGTCTCGGATGTTTGATAGCGAAGCAGTAGTCTGTTGGGGACTTGTATTTCTTCTTCCAGTTCAGACCTATGTATACTTCGTTGGTGTCGAAAGTGGCCAAGCAGACGAGTTCTTTCAACGTTTTCACCTTGTCTTTGAGCGAGTAGTAAAGCCCTAGTTACGTGACAAATGAAGCATTTTAAATATAAAAAAATAATAATAAAAAAAAGGTATGTTCGCTGATGCTATTATAATCGCATTGCTTTTATGGAATTGTGGCCACAAATCGCATAGCAGAGATATTGTCTTTACTGACCTGATGGTCGGAGGACGCAGTAAATTTTTTTCCATCCTTTTTTGGAGTCGTTCTTCAGGTAAAGTGGTCCCTCCATCGGCGGGACCGGATGTCCGGATACAGAAGGGACAGTACTGGCTCCGGCACCGTTTTGTCCGAAAAATTCTTCTAGCATCACTTGCCTTGAGTGATCGTCTTGTTCACTTGAACGACCTTTGATAGTATATAATACTAATTAAAACCAAAATAGTTATCAAAACAGTTATATTGCGGTTTGAAGGTTAGCACATATACCAATGATTCGACAAGATTGTTTGAAGTAGGGCCCGCATCGTAATTATGTGCGGGCCGCAAAACGTATCTAAAAAACCGTGTTGTATCTAAAAAAACGTATCTAAAAAAACGCTAAGTACCTTTGCTTTATTTAATATGAATATAGTTGTTTAGAGCATAGAGCAGAATGTTTCTCTTTTTTTTCTACCTATTCGCTGGTAAGGGGTTATTCTAGCTTCTCGTGGACGTATAGGTAAGCTCACAGGTTCAACCTGAGAGAATTTGCTAATACCAGCCATAGTAAGAGAGGTGTTTCGCAGAATCTATTACCGAATCGGAATCGCGATCGACTGAGAAGATCCAACGAGAAACTCAGTAAACTGTGTCTATGGGCTAGTTCACTAGTCGAACTCGTCAATTACGACGTAGTGTGAAGGACGGTGACCGGAGTTCCCTTACGTCAAGGTAGTGTTTGACTTTCGTTTCGGCTTCGGAAGCTGGTGGTAAGTCCTCTTGTGAGTCCGCACGGGTAGGTATCACCGCCCTGCCTATTTCTGCCGTGAAGCAGTAATGCGTTTCGGTTTGAAAGGTGGGGCATCCGTTGTAACTATACTTGAAACCTTAGAACTTATATCTCAAGGCGGGTAGCGCATTTACGTTTTAGATGTCTATGGGCTCCAGTAACCACTTCACACCAGGTGGGCTGTGAGCTCGTCCACCCATCTAAGCAATAAAAAAAAAGCTGTTCCCTCCCACCCACTGTTTGTACGAAAATAAGCTTGTCTTTACTATATAGCTCCAAATTATAATTTTAAACTATACCTTTGTGCTATACTTAATACATTTTCGTTAATAGATTGATTATTATAAAAAATAAAATCTTTTAAACTTACCCCGATCGTTATCGTTCAGTAGAAACTTTTCGGGGGCTTGGAACAACGAAATCTTATCTGGCCTTTCGGCAAACAATATTTTGTTTTTCGATTCTCTCGTCCATAACATTAAATTGTCTACTAACATTTCGTGGTCCTCGTACACTCGTTCTAAAATAACAGAGAAATTAAATAAATAAATAAATGATTACAACAACGGTAGTTTACATAATCTGTTAAAATAATGGATCAAAATCGGCCCGGTTAAATAGAAATCGCAAAAAATATTAAATAGACAACATTTATCTGTTAGATCAATTAGAGTTCACTAAAATTTACATCGCATCTTTAAAATAAATCGAGTTTTTTTGTTTTATTGAGTTAGAGCGTTTATTGTTATAATGTTTACCGAAACATAGATCCTCCAATTTGAATACTGCTGCCCACATCTCGAGATACCATGAAAATGACAATTGCGTTGACAAAATGACAATTCCTTTCAAATCGAAACGTACTAGCGGTAGAAATAGGCAGGATCATGTTATCGAACTTGTAACAAGATCTTGAAGAGAATTGTGGCGTTAAGGATTAAATAGTTAGTCGCGTAGAAATGTAATTGACGATGCTACTATTGACGAAACAGCAACCGTATGAGCCCGAGGTAGCATAACAATATATTCTGATTAATATGCCGATATACTATTAATAATTAAGATCCCTCGTTATGAACAAAATTAATCTGGATGCACTGTATAAAAGAATGAAGACGAACCCATATTGAGATCAGGCAAGTGTTCAACTATTGCCCACTTCGGTTCCATATTAACGTGGTTTTTGTCCGCCAGCAAACGCGTCACATATCCACAAGTCATTTTCTCATCAACCAATAAACTCTTCGAAGATCCATCCATTGAAAACGCTTTTATGAACAGTTTCTTGATATTTGCTTCTCGCATGCGCTCTAATGCTAATTTAATCTTGTCCGCCTTTTGTTGGAAGCTCGCGTCCTGAATTCAACAATGATTTTGTTTGTTAATTAAACCTTAATAGCTATATTAATAATTATTAATCAATTATATTCTAAACAATAATATAATTTATAATTATAATATAATTGAAAAAGATCTGTATAGTTTTTTGATATCAAAACCTTTTGTTGTTAAAAAGTTAGAAAAATAAACAAAACTGTATAACAAAAAAAAAACTTTAAATTAAATTATCGTATCATTTGCTACAATACGATTATACAGGGTGAGGATTACGTTTACACCTTAAATTGTACCACTTATGAATATAGGGTATAATGTTTCATGGTGGCAAACAAAAAACACAAAAGATTATTTTAAGTTTACTCAGCATTTTAGCCACAGAGAATCATATTATTATTACGTTTCATAATTTTACACATGCTGTAGATAACAGACGATGTATCGACAGCTTTTAAATAATATCAGTGTCTGTTAGAAAAGTTTCTAATTTATAACTGTTCCGTAATATTTGTTATCTGATAGAAACAATAAGGAATTCTTTTATTCGATAGTCTTATTCAATTGTATCTTTTGCTATACTTATTATTAATCTTAACCATGTTGTAATTTAAGGGGATACCATAATCTCAGTCTAGTATAAAAAAAAATAAGACCGATACATATATGTATATATATATAATACATTCAGGGTATCTTCAAAGCATTTGCGAAAACGAAGATAGGTGTAAATGACCTTGGTAAAACTGTATATACGAATGTTTTCTCAATTGAACCCATCACTGAATTGAATTTATTTATAGATAGAAGAAAATCCAACAGTTCAAAAATGTTAGTCAATTTTCTTCACTGTTTTTCTTTTTTTTTCGATAATGACAAGTTTTAGAGTTGGTTACTAATACGAGTACAAATCTTTTCCATTTTTTTTATGAAAAATTGCTAAAACAATAAATTGGAAAATGAAGTAATAATATAAATATAAACATAAGTTAATTATGAGATTTCACGATAGTCTGCGAGCTGCCTTCGTATTTATTATATAGCGGGTTGACGATAATTCAACTTCCTAAATCGACAAGTATTTATACACTTGACTTAGCAATTGAAGATTATTTAAGTTAGGTAAGTAGCTAGTTAGTCCAAAGCTACAGACTACGAACACTCTGTTGGGAGTGAAACGAATAAGAAAAAGAAGTAATTTTTTCCCATTTCAACTTCGGGAACAATTTCCTCACACCCTGTAGATGTTATTAGAGATAAAAGCTAATACAGTTGGACTTTTGGAAGTCGATATAAAGTATCATTTATTATTAACTTTGTGATTGAACCTTACCTTTTGATTTTGATGTAAATTCAATTTTAAGGCTTTGCATTTCGCACTCGCGCTACTAGAAGCCGAAGATTCGCTCGAAAGCATGGATACCTGAAAATATGATGTCAACATTAAAATATATCAAAGACTAGCTGACTCGGCAGACTTCGTAGTGCCTCAATCGATAAATAAAATACCTAAACTTTTGTATAAAATAAACTTAAAACAAACAAAAAGAATCCGTCCGACGGGGGACACATCAAAGGAAAAACAAAATTGTTATTTTTATTTAATTCCAAGCATTTTCATATTTATTTACCTTTTAAACCTTCTCTGGAGTTCCACAAATCATTCAAGACCAAAATTAGCCAAGTCGGTTCAGCCATTCTCGAGTTTTAGCGAAACTAACGAACAGCAATTAATTTTTATATATAGAGATTGGTAATATAAAACTTAGGTCACGTACGATATCGAAGTACGACTAACTTGCATGGAAAATCTTGCAGTACGATGTATTATTATTTTATTTTATATTGTAATTTTGATTTCCCATATATGTTTTTTAAGAATTTTTTATGGGACAATAATTAATGTAAATAGAAATCAAGGTACGTTTGTATGTTTGTTTATCTGCCCTCGATTTATTAATTCCTCTTGTGACAAAACTTGTTACAGTTGTTTTTGGCATTTCAGAGAACGTTTTTATCATAGTACCATTAACGTAAGAGAAGAAGCACCCGATTAATGTAAGTAAATCGATATTTTTTATATGTTTAGTCACAGAGAAGCGTGACCCGGTTTCACGTTTATAATTAATCGTGATGTTTTAATTTCCCATAATTTACACAATACTAAAAAGGTTAAGGTAATAATAATATGTAGCGTGTTCACATTAATTAATGTGAATTTAGTATTTCGTGAATACAAATGTAACAAAAATATATTTATATATATTTGTTTCTTATTTATTTTAACTCCTCCTCCTCGAATCGTGTTCCTCATGTCTGAGGGTCGTGACCACCATCACCCATGAGCTTCGATCTTAAGATGTTTTTCCACTTTCCCCTGTCCACGGCGTCATGCAGCGCGCTGTTATTTATTTTAACTAGTCAAGTTAAAATCCGAACTTGTCAATGTAAGCCGAAAGGTAATTAATAATAATCATTGAACTAACTAATTTCCATTCTACAAAGAGCGCGTTCATGTTATACACATGATAGAATGATATTTCTTGATTGCATTAGGGTTTTTGCTAGTGATTTCTAAGTATTTGCACAAAAACGTATCACCTAGGGATTATTTCCTGAGAAATTTAAATTCAATCGGATAAACGTCACTCGAAAGCATAGAGCGTAAACAAACAAACAAACAAAGCCAAAATTATTCATGTTTATTTAGAGAACGATTTACTTGGTGATAAGTAAATCATCTTCTATGGAGAAGCATATTTATACTCCTCGAAATATGTTATAAGCTCTTACTGGTGGTAGGACCTCTTGTGAGTCCGCGCGGGTAGGTACCACCGCCCTGCCTATTTCTGCCGTGAAGCAGTAATGCGTTTCGGTTTGAAGGGTGGGACAGCCGTTGTAACTATACTTGAGACCCTAGAACTTAAATCTCAAGATTGGTGGCGCATTTACGTTGTGGATGTCTATGGGCTCCAGTAACCACTTAACGCCAGGTGGGCTGTAAGCTCGTCCACCCATCTAAGCAATAATAAAAAAAAAGCTCACTGTGTCACTGAAAGCGGAGTCATTGTCCGGGGACTCGGTGCGCGTGATCCCCGAAGCCGCATCGCTGTTGTCCTTCTCCTGACGCACGGTACAGGGCTCAGTGGTTCTCGGTACCCTGTCTTTTGATCCGGATGCAAAGCCTTCAACAAAAAAATAGCGTACTTATTATTATCATTACTACGATTGAAAAACGTGGTATTTAATCAGCTATTTATTGATTCTGAACTATGCGGTATCTGTTGTTCTACTATTCTTTTTTTTTTTTTTTCCTATCTTGAAAGGTGCATTTAGTGTGTGGTGCTACTGGGCGTACTCACGGGGTTTAGCTTAAACGAATTTTGCTAACATCTGTCTAGGGGCAATACTTCGTTGAATCTACCATCGGATCGGAATTGCGATCTACTCATTATTTTTAATGATACTACAAATTATTTTTCCTGTGTTTGAGTGATTTTTAAATTAGTTTAAATAATTTACCTGATGACACTCTAGATAATTCTTCGTCATATTCGGAATCGAGAGCGCATAGTTCGCCCAGAATGGCGTCAAGATCAGCGTCTTGCGTTTCTTCGAGATTTGCCATCGAGAACCGATAGGTGTCGATGCGTGGAGCGACTATTTCAAGAGGCCTCAGAGCTAATGAACCATCGCCGGTTGAATTAAGACCCTGTGAAATTCACATAAAGTTATTTTTTGAGTATAGCATTTTTTGTGTAATCGTTTATGAAATATGTTGCAGAGCGTTACGTAGTATATGTACATATGTGCGTATACACTATATGTATGTATATATGTATATAGTGCCTTAAAACCTCCGATCTATGTAGGTGCAATGATAAAAATAACGTCAAAAAGAACGCAATATCGCCAAGGTACTGACTGACCCTTATACAGAACAAACATGTCAGGGGATTGATTGATTGAAATATTTATCTTTAACTATATAAATACAAAATACCACCGTGCCCGACTACCAAAAAGATAACGCACATATTAAGGCATCGGACTTTGATTTGAAATTTTGTAGAAATATTCATTACTTTCGAATTATACGATCACTATAGCGAAATCGTTTACTTTTCAATTTTATTAAGCATGGTAAACCTATTAAATTTAAAAATAATAAATGTTGTTAATTGGTAATGGCATTTTTTTATTCTCGCAACATTAAAACGAGGGCCGGAACGTATTGGTTTACCAAAAATGTGACCGCAAAACGCCACGAATATTAAACATATGACGCTTTAGAATTAATTTATTATCCATGCGCATTCTGTGTACATACATGTCAACATCCCAAAACATAATCACGATTGTATTGTCTTCGAAACAATGTGTCGTCGTAACTTGATAATAATAAATAATAAATTGAGTTACCCATAGATAATATTCATTACTTTTCATTAATAAATCGTTAGGACATAGGTAATTTTAATTTTTGTACTGCCGTTAAATACAAATTTTTAGCATTCAACTCATTGTCAGAATTATTATTTTTACGCTCATTAGATAAACATTTTACTACTTCGTATGGAATGTTAATGTGAATAGAGCATTTGTGTCTCGTATTCATTCTATTGTTTACATTAAATACTCTATGTAAAATCAAACCGTTAGACGTTCTGTTTTCAGTGATTACATACCGACATGAGCGCCGTCATAGTTTGTCCTGTTTGTTTATTTTCCACAGGTGAGTTATTGGTGCTTTTCGATTTGACATTCAGCCGAAAGCTTCGGTTAAGGGAGAAGAGGAATCCTCCACGCTGCCACTTAGCTGGTTCGCTCGGTTGTACATTCATCATTTCATTCACATCGCAACGTGCAATGACTCATAAAGCATCACTTCACACTATTAGTAATGTGTGCCAAAAGGCCGGTGCTCCGTGCCCTTTTCAACTCCTCACATTGTTTTTTTTTGTACGATATAACACTCGCCGGAAAAGGAAGTATTCGAATAAATGGCGGGATATGTTTAGCGTTAAAGTTTCTGTCATCCGAGTAATTTAGAAGTACGAAACGAGTTTATTTTTTGTATCGCGTTCGGAGTCTGCGCGGGACTTCGCCTCTACCGCACTGCACGGCGGCCGTTTTATTATACGAAGACCGGTGACCTCGCCCATTCACTCGATTCTAAACTTTGTTTTCATGAACAACTTTTACATTGCACTTATTTCTAAAGCAACAGAACAAAGGAGACTGCCCGTGTCGAGTCACGGAACGCGTGTAACGTACACAGTCTCGAACACAACTAGTTTGAGTGGAACAGAGTGAAGTGAGTTGTTTTACAGCGTGCCATGAACGCGGAGTCACCCGCTCGCACAGGCAACCAACTGCAGGGGGACGCGAATGAGCAGTAAACGGGCGCTTGTGTATTGTGCACGTGTGCGCGTCCCGCTACGTAACGTAGTTTCATTCCAGGATCACAATGTAACGCTAGCTTGGTGGTGTGCGTGCGAGTCCCCTAGTTCGAGCTCCCTACCCGGCAGTTCCTTATGCCGGGCGCACGCACTCACGCCCCCACCACCTCACGCACACTAAAAACCTTCGTCTATACTATACTTTTCGACCACGCGCCTCAGGATACTATGTTTCCTAGCATTGTAATTTTTTATGCAAAATTCAAAAGCCGTCTGTGAGCAGTCTTAAATATAAATAATAAATTCCGAAAAGAGTTAATACAATTTTTCGTAAACTCTTATATTTCGTTTCAATCAATTAGTATTTGTTTCTTTTTTTTTAGTTTCTCCAAATGCTCTAGTTGTTAAAAATAGTTCCTCATAAGTAATTAGAGTTCTTGTTTCACGGCTTTGTTTAGATGTAATTTACCACCATGTGGGTCAGGTTACGCTCTGACCTATTTCTATTTCCCTCGTTGTTTCGACCGCACCCCGGGTTAAATAGAATCAAAAGTGGGATATCGATCATAAAATATGGGCACGCTGCAAAAGTTGGTCATTTAACGCTGTTTGTATGTTGTACCTCTTAATTTCAAAATTTTATGTATTTATGTACTTTATGTAATATTTAGTAGTTGAATTTTAGTGAAATTTTCGTATTATGGAAGTGTTACTTCATTAACATGATACTGATCTCGTAAGATTCTTAAAGGTTAGGTTAGGTTATGTGCCACGCTGCTTTGCGATAATTAAAGCTATACCAGATTTATGAAGTACCAAAATGTGCAAGACGTTTGGAATGGATGATGAAAAAAGATCAACAAAAAATGGGAAACAGGTGGTTGTTGCGGAACACCTGCCCAGACAGTTGATCCGACAGATGTGCTTTTACAACGCATTATTATTGATCTCCGGCCTGCCGTCCCAGTTATGAATAAAATAATTTCTTAACTTAAGCACTTTTAAAGTAAATAATTTAGGCAAAAATGAGCGATATTTATACTTTAGTTATACAACTCAGTATGTGCATGCAGTGGATATTTGATTTATAGGGCGTTAGCCCATTTCCCAATATCATTTCCAGAATCGGCCGACTTGAAGCGATTAACATTTGTTGTTGTTGACTTTGTTGTTGCTACATAATGCTTTTATTTACGATGAACTCCATTTCAGAGTTTTCCTATCACAACTTTTTCCAACAGCTTTGTATCAATTGCAATTTTTACTTAGAAACTGTTTGAACTATTTCGATCTTTTAGATTATTCAAGTACAGAAAAAACATAGCGTGGTCCACACGTATTATCTGTTTAGCTCGTACGATTTTGAGTGTTCTTGACCCATAGAAAGAGATAATGCAATACGTAGTCATTAACAAAATAAATTCATTGTTAACACAACGTACAAGTTCTCCTTTCAGAAATTCAAATCGTTTGGATATTAATGTGTGCAATCTTAAATCTGCAATTTCTCACATGTTAGGCACGCACGGCACCGGGGTTCCAAAAGCGCATTTACTGATCCATTATTTTTTATATCACGACAGTTTTGCAATAAATAAAAAATAAAAATTTTGGAGAATTATTAAAGCACTATTGAAACGCCAGTCGAAGCGTAATATATTATTGAGTAGTGTGCTCGAGGTTACGCGAAATCATGGAAGATTCGAGAGACATATGCGCCCGTGCACCTGTTGCGTCCACGCCGGCTGCAATCAACACGCGCTAGCGGCCTACCATAATCTTGGCATCTAATAAATAAATTGAGGTTCCATAATATATTTGTTTTTATAGTTTACATAATATGTACTAATCAACTCTATTTCATTGTTATCTGTAGAAGGGCACTCGTCGTGCCGAACCGTATTGTGATTGAACTTAATTGATTAGAATATGTACATGATTTTTGAGGTATATACATTATGGATATATATATATATCGCACCTTTAGAATTGAAGTTGCTTAACTAAACAATTTAAGAAAAAGAGTTCTTTAATTTGAACGATTTTTAAACATGTATTCTATAAGTTTGTAAATAAAAATATTACAATTAACAATTAAATTTAAATCTTAGTCTAGAAACGGACAAAGTAAACGTTCCGTCTCTTTTAAATTAAGGGCATACTTTAACCTTTAAGACTTATACCTAGTATTAAAATCGAAAGAAAAAAATTATAATTCTCCAATTACAAATTTAGATTAAGGCACTTCAATTCTAAAGGTGCGATATATATCAAAACATGTAGGTATTCTTGTTGTATTTATTTATACAACGTATAATTTGGTATTTACAGATAAACGGTTGCCTGGAGGACATCGCCTTAAGTGATAAGGGCGTCCATCGTAACACTCTTACAAATTTTTAAATAAAATAAAATAATTTAAAATAAAGCCTTTTATTTTGGCTAGTGTTGTTCAATAAAGAGATTTCTATTCGATTCTATTGTACGGTAAATATTTTTGTTCCATGAATAGGCATATGAACACACTGCCCAGCTTGTGTTAAGTCAATATCAGAGCACAGACATTTCTCAGGGCCACTGCGTCGCTGACAATCAATCTTCTTAAAACTAATAGACTACTAGACTAGAGATTTTTTTTTATTGATTAGATGGGTGGACTAGCTCACAGCCCACCTGGTGTTAAGTGGTTACCGGAGCCCATAGACATCTACTACGTAAATGCGCCACCCACCGTGAGATATAAGTCCTAAGGTCTCAAGTATAGTTACAACGGCGGCCCCACCCTTCAAACCGAAACGCATTATTGCTTCAGGGCAGAAATGGGCAGAGTGGTGGTACCTACCCGCGCGGACTCACAAGAGGTTCTACCACCAGTATATTAGTATAGTACTAGTATTTTGCCATCGTTATTCTGTGTGCTTATCGAATAGCATTTGTTAATAAGTATAATAAATAATAATAAAATATTTACTAATAGTCACGCCACGTTAACTGGTCCCGTGATAAGTTCGTAAAGAACTTGTGTTACAGGTACCAGATAACGGAAATATATGTAAGATTTTTATTATACACATACATATATTTAATATACATTCATAACCCTAGAAAAGACATTTATGTTTATCATACAAATATCTTCCCTAGGTGGAATTCGAACCCGCGACCCCCTTGTGTAGTGACCATGTCACTTACCACTACACCAGTCGGCCGTTCTATGTGATAATTTTATATGTCAAAATACTGACCGCAGTAAGAACGGTCAGTTCGCCAAGCCACTCGTTCAGAAGAGCTTCGGGATCGTCAGCGGTGGAGCCCGCACCGACTTCCTCTACCAACGCCATCTGCCGTGCAAAAAATAATAAAGCAATTATTACTTATTACGTAAATAAACATTTTCGATTGAAATAAAAAGTTACGCAAGTTCTTTTCGTTGGGGAAACGTGAAATAGTGTTTCCTTTTTTAAAGTTGGATTTTTGAATAAAATTCATTTCAATTTTTAGTGTACAGTAAAAGCAGCTGTTATTTCCGGTGCACGGATCCAAAGCTAACAAAAGAAACACCACCGAATGATCGTGCACGTGCGCGAGCAGAGATTGGTTTTATTCTTCTAAGCACCCCATTGTTTTCCATTGAACGGTTTATTTCGATTCTGCGGGCCACTCCTTGACTGTAAATTATAAGGATTAGATCATCTGATTATTAGTTTCAAAAGTTTCAAGCTGTTATTTTTCATTTATAGTGACGAAATATCTAGTTAAACCTTCATATACTTTTGAGAAAAGTAAACAATATTTTATTTTATTAAATTTTATTGAAGTGAAACTTCTTTAGAATCGTTGTGATTTCAAACTCGATGAAACGAAAAAATAAGTCCATAGAGACATAAACACATAAATGTATAGGATTCAGCCGGCGAGAGAATGAGATAGAACACATTAGACGTTCTCGGTCTCCTCTTTGTGCGACACTTCGTAGCATCCCGACTATCATCTACTAAACATTGTCCATATGTATACACCCGTGTAGTGGGATAGTCAGTATATCTATATCTTATTTATAAGTTTCACTTCTACCGTTCACACACACACACACTCTTTTATTATTTATTTTATATTTCGAAATAATTAAAATATTTAGTTGTTACAGTGTTGTATTTGAGGGACACATTTGTTGAATTTATGAATTAGAGGCGTAACGCTTTTTTGTTACGTGACGAATTCAATAAACAAAGCCCTGCCTCAAGCCGCGTTAAAGAAATCATTACCAAAACATCAGACTTCTTTTGAAAACATTTTATTTCAATGAATTGTAACGTATTAAGTTTGTGGAGTGAAACAAAGAGGATTAACATCGACAAAACTATTTAACCTTTACATAAGCCGATTGATGTATGAATTCAGTAGCGTCTCTGGCGGACGCTCCGTCGGTGGCAAGTATATAACGTAAGTAAATCACTTTTACTTCGTTACATTTACGTAGTAGGCGTCTCTCTGTTATTATTAAAGTTTTCTATTCTTTACTTGATAATTTTTCATGGTACTATTCTTACTGTTAACTACATATTTGCTATCTTCATTTTTTTATTCAAAATATTACTCGTTACTGAGTAAATTGAACAGTGCTATGCGAAAAGGAATCTTGGTTTTCTGGCAGCTGTAGTGTTCTGAAGTGGAAAATTGTGTTTTTAGGGAAAGCAAAAAAAAACAAAAAATCAAAATCAAAAAAATCAAATATCAAAGGCACCTCTCTCGCTCTTTTCGCTGTTCCTTTAAATAGATTCTCCCAGTTTAAAAACCCCGGTACTTGATCTTGAGCACTCAAAAGTAAAACCTAGATATTTAAGAGGACTATAAAGCATTGTCCGTTAGGAGTATTATGTTGACACGGGATGACCACGCACATGAAGAATGTTTACACAATTGCGCTTCAACGAATTTAGACTGAATAGTCAACATTAGGCCGAGGAACTCGTGCTATTTTTAGCCACGCAATTATTTTTTTTTAATACAAGTATATTGGTTATTATGAATTTATTTTCTATTTTATGTCGTCGTAAAAAGTGATAACGAAAATTTACATACACTTCAAAATACCTATCAATCTGTTTAAGTCACACAAGATAATTGAACGGGTGGACTGTGTAGTGACGGGCGATTCAATCCCTTTTTTATTGGTTAGAGCGTTTAGATGGTTGACTTGCTAACGATCCACCTGCTGTGGTTACCAGAGCTTATCACAACATGAAAGCCGCTATCTACCTTGAG